TCACTGGATAGAAATAAGCAGAAGAATGCGTTTGGGATTTCCCATATTACTGTACAGAGCAGCATAACTTTATTAATATCTTAGAGTGGTAACTTCACCATCACCGGTAGCACACGTTTCACACTCGCAATTTTCTACTGAAATACAATGAGTACAAGTGCAATCAACTGTACAGATAACCGCAGGAAAGTTTTTTGGAAAAACGTCTACTTTTCTAATCCAAATCAACGACAACAGGGGCGGGAACATGCCTTAAATCCTACTGTGTTTGAAAAAGACAGTGAGTTTAGTCCACACCTACCAGAATGAATGGCATGATTGTACATAACTTAAGAATTTTTCCGTAATACGGTAGGTGTTTGTTCAACTCTCGTTTTGGTAAAGAGGCCACTTAGGTGCTCCGCCATGTCAGTAGCCCCGACCCCTTTAGCGTGTCGAATGTGTATATTCTGCCCGAGTATTAGATCTTCTACTGTCTTCAGGTAAGGCTTGGAGAGCCATATTGGTGGCAGAGGAGAGTAAGTCCTATCTTAAAGGGCAATCATCCCAGTTTCTACTGGTGGATGATAAAGCCTAGCTGGACGGAAGGTGCACATAAGCTGCGGATGGGAGAAGGGCTTAAAATCACGTCTATTTTTGGTAATAACCTCAGTCCAGTGGTCTGCAAAAAAACCTATTAACAACTAAAGCAACACTAGCAGTGGTCGCAAGCCATCTGGAAAAGATTGTTACTCATTTGTCTACCGTTTCTCTGTAAAGACATCAAATGTGTGAAATCGTGATACCTCCTCCGCTGCTCCACTAGTTTTATAGAACCCAGATAGATATGGCTGAGCAGCACTAAAGTGGGAATAACATGGTGAGGAGAAGTAGAGGCGAAACTCTACCCGCACGGAACTATGTTGATACCCGTCCTTTGCTACACGACTCTGCTTTTGGGTTAGTGTTCCTACGACTAGCTATGGATGCGCATGATGACCAGCACAATTCTCCGTCCCTGGATCCAGTCTCCAAACAGGACAAAACCCCAGATGCAGTGGAATCGCCAGGAAGGATCAGTGACAGTGTAGTCAAATATCACCTAAGTTACAAGGAAATTTGATGACTGGCATGGTTGGCTGGAGGGTGCTTCGTTGCAGCACCAATTTTTGCCGGGTTACGAGTGATGCGGGAGGGTGACCAAGGAGAGGGCCGAGGACGACACTCAAAAGAAAAGAGGGACTATGCAATGCAGTGATTGTTTGCTTAACTGCCGGTTTTAGTAAAAAGGCCACTTAGGTGCTCCACTATTGTAACTTTGCAGGAGTGGGTTCGCCTGAGGGCCACGTCAGTAGCCTCAAACCCCATTGTATATAAAATATGTATATTTTGCAATGATACAAGGTCTTCTTTTGTCATCAGGGAAGTCCTGAATCGCCAAAATCAAATGGTTAAAAGCACAAATCTAAGCCAAAATGATGCTACTTAAATTATTCACCACATTGAAAAGTAAAAGAAAGCCTAGAGGACTATGCAAAAGTATGCTCAGAGTCGCTTTTACCAATGTCAGTGCAGGGCATGCCCCGACTCTAGTGGCCGTCGTCACCAACAGTGCAGCTTTCACCCTCACAGATGCAGTCAGACAAATGGATGATTAAATCGGACACTGCACGGACCCCCAAGACGAACACAATAGCTACACCACATAAAATTCCAATGAGGGGGTGCTTAAAGTGGAAAAGTTCACAAATAACAAAACTCATGCCACCGACCCCAACAGTTTGTGTAAAGCTCTTGAGAGAGAAGGCATCAGTGATCCTCGAGGAGGAGATTAAGTGGGAATCTCCAGTAAAAGTTTTGAATATTTTAAGCATTCCGTATAATGCAATACAAGGTGTCTTCCCCTCATCTTTCTTCTCGATTCAAGGGTATAAAACTGGAGGTAGATGAGCAAAACAATGAAAGTATTACACTGATGTTAGCGTCTGCGAACCTCTTTTTCCTTTATAATGGACGTGGATCTGGACAAATGGGTTGAGTGCGTCAAGTTTGACCTCTGGTTCAACACCCAATGACAAAAAAACCAAATTGTTCCACACTTTAACAGAATACGACCAGCAGAAGATGGAGAGGAATAAGGAAACGTTGCTATGCGTTACCACAGACAGGAAAACCTGGGTAGCGAAATTCCTCATATGTACAAAACTAGCTTGGAATGCAAATTTTGGAGCCGATTTTCTGCATGCCGCTGAAGCCAAGGGTATCTTTGTCCACCAGGATAGCAAGGCCACAGTGGCTTTTCCGTGATTGAAGAAAGGTGTGGATGATATCAGGAAAGGGTGGAGACGGATAGCGGAAAGGTGACTTTCATTTTGTCATATGAGCCTTACGAAGTCCGAGCGGCCACTCTTCGACACCTGTGCAAACGACCCGAATTGGGCCATTAGCGATTCATTGCAAAATAAGCCTTGATGACACACTCGTTCCCGGTAGAGATAGTAGTGAGAATAACGTCAATCCGAAATTAATGTTTGACCGCCCACAAGAAGCTGATATAGCACCGAACTCAAAGAAATGCCCTTTCCACCACGCTAAGTCACCGACTTGAAAGATACTGTATAGTCAGGTGAATAGGGCAGCGGTTGCAGAAGAAGGTAAAAAGCAATTCTGGAACTGGCCAATGCTGACTAGTCAGATGGGATTCCGGGATTTCCTAGACAAATGGCAAGTTCGCTACAGAAACTTAAGGGAAGGCCGATCAAAAATAATTTTAAGTAGGAGAAAGAGCACGATGAAATGTTCAAAGAATGGATGCGCCGCACTGATTCAAGCATTGCCCAATGGTGAATTCGGCGCTTCGGTATTCGTTCTGGACATTTAAAGTGGCGCCTTTTCACGAAAGGACGAAAAAGTTTGGGGACGCGAGACAGGAAAATGTCATCAAATGCCTGATGATAGTCATTGATCTGGCTCTAAACAATGGAATAAATCATTTGGTGGTGTGTCAGTACTAGGAACTGCAGTAATACAAGTTCACACCACCATATAGCATAGCAGCAACACAAGCCATAGTGACGCTGATATTCTATCTTGCAGACCAGACCTGGAAGAAACCAGAAATGTTTCTGTGAATAATATACCTTGAGGAGACTCACTCAGTCTAACTGAAGAAACACACAAAGTGGCTCTAATGTACGAGAACGCTCTCACATCCTCTTACAAACCAACAGCAAACGATGCTGTCATCAGGCAAGGTGGTCAAGAGGTCATGGCAGGAGTGTTCGAAACGGATCCAGGAAAATGAGGTCTTAGTAAAACCAAGATCGGGTTGCAGCACCCAGTAGTTCCTGGTTCATTCATACAAGTAATCCTCCAAGACTTACGTGACCAGTTGGGTCATGGAGGAGAAGGTGCTAGATGCTTCAAGCTTAGGGTACTGGTGCCCTTTTGGTGCTTTTTACATGACCTGAATCACCGGCAGAAAAGTCAAAGAATCTAACCTTATAGTGATTGAATCGCTTCAACCTATGCTCACAGGGTTTCCAGATGAGAATAAGAATTGAAATTGTGGCTCCTTTACCGACTACCGTGAGAGAATAACGGTATGCCGATGTAGCGGTGATTGAGAGGGAACGCCCCAACATCCAAGAAGCTAAAACGACCCCTTCCGTCTTCTTAAACTGCTGGACTTGTTCACATACTTCCCTGAATTAAGCATAGAAACCAAAATGTCAATTATGACTTTACTCGTATAGAATTATGCAGAACCTTTGAGACCCTGAAGACACGCACGACACATGACCACTCGGAAGCTAATGGACAGGGAGAAAGATCCAATTGGACTGCTCAAAGCCCTCGCCGGGGACGCCTAGTCCCGGGCTTGGGACCCATCCCCAGGTAGATACAGGGTTACAGCCCACGAAACAACCAGCATCTCACCGCAAGATGAGACTGCTAAATGATCTTTTCTAAATTAACCGTCGAAATACCAACCTACAAGACTCCGGGACATACCGCGACCGGGAGAAAAGATGAGTTCAATCTAACCTCCGTGTGCCAAACCAGGAATTCAACAGGGAGACAGCGCAGCATCGCAAGCCCCACCACCCCTAGAGCAGACGCATGCCGGGTGGCAAGCTCATCTCACCAACAAGTTACTTGGCGTGCAACACAAGTCCGTACGCGAAAAATCACGGTATTCCGTAATAAAATGGGTCCCTACAAAGAAACACTGGTTGGATATGATGATGCATATGCCAGGTGATAAAGTCCAGCAAAAATAACAGGAGGGAAAACCACAAAGGATGCATTGAAGGTAATGCTCAAAACGAGCAACCCGCGTAGTACACGTCCACTTGAGGACAAATAAAGCGACAAGCGGATAGCCTGGACCAACCCAGCAGGCAAAAGAACGTCATCGCTTCCCAAGGAGACCAACCCTGAAACCCCAGCAAAACCTTGAATACTTATGAAATTCTGCATTACCCAAAACAGGGTGTCTTCTTCAAAGCACTCTCCTCAACCCAATGGTATGATATCTTCGATGAGACAATGAAAATTGTCGCATTAACGAACGGCTAGGGCAGTCGCGATACGAGGGCAAACGGAATATGCCGACAAGCGCTTACTTCGATGTTATCGACCACTCAAAATAGGCGCCAAAATAAGCAGACCAAGGGTGAGTACAGCGAGCGAAAAGTTGCAAGTAATCCAACCGCTTCCCCCAACGAATAAAAGAATGCCTTTGAAGCAGAATACTAAATAAAAACCAAAAACCCCAAATCAAGGTAACAATCGCAGCAGCTAGCAGTCGCAAGATGAAATGATAACCAAAAGTAGTGGCATCCTGTTAACTGCAACAGCTATGCACAATCGAACGAATGACGACGAGCATCAAAACGAATAGGACAATAATGTAAATAAGTACAGAACTGCAATGCAAATGAACCAATGAATAAAAGACAATACTTTATTCATAGCCATAAATATCAAACGGGCGCCAATGCACCGCTTGCAGTTCTTTACTCTTGACGACTTTTTTCTTCAAAATCACCGACTAACTCAGGGACGTCATCATCATCATCCTCAGCGGTGTCTTTTGTTTCACCTTGAGCTGCTTCTAGAGGTCAGATGGTAAAATATGTCAAAAAACCCACCACTCATTTTAGAAAGGCGCTGCTTCGCCGTCTCCAGCTGACTCATCATATTAGGGAACAAGTCATTGAGTGCTAAAAATAGGGAAAGTTAGCTATTGTAACATACTCTTGTTCTCAGCGAGACCTGAAACAGCGAACATGTTGGCCTGTGGCGATGCCTGAACCCTTGGGTTCTTGAAGTGAATCATCGTACCGTCAGCTCGGTACATATTAACCTCCTCGATCGACGGGATTACATTAATTCCCAACTTTTTAAGAGTAGCCTGTAGCTTCTTATCGTCGGTCGCCGCACTTTTATGTACAACCTTTCTCTTCCTCCGGGCACTGCCCTTGCCACCGATCCGAGCCTGTTCTGAAACAGACTTTAGAGCCTGAAGTCTTTCAAGACGAGCTGCTTCCATTTGATATGAGCCTCAGCTGACTTTTGTGAAAATGTTAAAGGTAGAAAAAGCCCCACCGAGCAATTTAGAGCGATAAAAGCATGAATACCAAGTGGAAATAGTGGACGACTTAAACAATTCCCTGATAATGCGATTTTGAAGTTCCTTCCAAGAAAGCAAGCACGCAAGATCTAAATACAATTAAAAAATTTTTACTTTCAATTGTTGTTGCAGAAATTTAAATATAAAGGCAAATTTTGACACCCGCGAATTTAAACGCAGTGACCAACCACTGACTTAACCTAGTTTTGTTTCGTTTCATGACTTAAAATGTGTTTAACTGTTTACTATTTGAACCCGATTTTAGCGACCTTTTAGTAGCTCATTGATTCTCTCAGTAAATTGCTAATTGATATTCGTTAGGCGCCATGCTCCACTAAACAGCACTAGTGCACCACATTCAAATTCCATATCTTTAAAGGTCTTATAAAACCCTAGAACAGCATTTTAAGTAATGTATCACCTAAACGCTAATGTTAAGAGCCGCGATACTCAACTTCCTGTCTTTCTCAAGCTTGCTGCCCTAACAGCACCCTCTTGGATTCTGCGTGACAACTTTAACAGGTGGGGCGAGGAAGCCCCAACGACCAAGGCGCGTAGCAAACAACCCCGTGCCCGATTCATCCCAGGTAGCCTAGACCCTTATAGTGAGTGCACCCTCGCGTAGAGGGATTAATGACACCGCCGCTATTAAACCCCAGAGTTGGCAGGAGGATCGTAACGCGTCTCCTGGACACCCGCCCCCCTTACTGTGCATAATTGATTCCACGGACGTAGAAAAGCTTGGTATGCTAGAAATCCCCCCTAGCACATTCCGCAATCATCAAGGATCCAAATGGCAAGGAGAAAGCTGGCCTCTGCCGTTCCCTACGTCCCCCACCAAATTATCCTTGCAATGAAAACTCGCACGACGGCAATCCACAATAACAAACTGCAAACTTTAGTAACAACCCCTCCTATTGTTAAAAGTCAAGAAGAGGAAAGAATATACGGCAGAGCGATATTATATCAGAGGAATTTTACGTTTACCGAAACTGACCCCATGTGAAAGCGCCAGGAAAAACCAATGTAGTTCAAAACAGTAAAAAACGGTCAACCCTATTGATGCCCATCAGTCATCCGTGAATATGTATAGTGAGCTCGTCAACACAGCCACCGGCAACCAAAAGTCCAAACGAAAACTTGAGGGTTTTAGCCTCATTTGTTTGTCGAGAAAACTGCTCCGACAAAAAAGGAATGAAGATCATTCAAAATGGTGACATTTGCTCCAGCAAAATAAATACATTGATAGCTAAGAACAGGAGACCAATTGGGCGTAGCATACCAACTTTTCTAATTCATTTAAAGGTCCTTCTTGGATTCCGTCTAGAAGTCAAAAAGGCAAATGAGGAGTTTACACTGCTACTTACTGGACTACTGTCAGAGTGTTCTGCACTGTGTGTAGGACAGGATAAAGTATTTACCTATAGAGGAGTAAAAGTACAGTTAAACCATCAGACAAAAGGTCTTAGGGTAGCAAAAAAACAATTATCCAAAAAGAAACAAAATTAAACAAAAAGTCTACCTCAGTGGCTTCCACGGACGGAGCTTGACCCAATTTGGCCTGCAGACTCGGGAAAAAGGGCAACAACAGAGGTAGAAAGAATCTGTGGAAGACCCAGAGAAGGAAAGGAACCACTAAGCATGGCACGCACACCATCGCCGCAAAGGGGTGAAATCAAGAGCCGTGAAAATTGGTTAGAAAATTTAAACTAAAATTATCATGAAAAACTATTTTAAAAAATGTACGATAATGAGTGAACATTGCAATGACCAATATAAATATTTTAAACAACACAGTATGACTGGAGCAAATTGGGTGAGAAGCATGGATAGCTCAAAAGACATAAAAAAGCCCAAAAAGCGGTCTCTTTATCTAAAAACATGTGGAACTCACAACCGCGTAGTGTAGACAGAAAATAGACAATTTTAGCACTTTTAAAGCGCATGAACACAAACCTGCGGGCGTAATGCAATATTTTCAGAGAAGTGCAAATCTAACAATGAAGAGGCAGCATAGAAATTTCTTGCAAAGAAGTTGGTTGGTTGTTGTTGTGTTATAAGTGCGTTTCGTTGTGTTAAATGAATCTGGTTGTGGAACGATATGCATATTGAATATTTTGCGCAACTGCAACAAGACTTTCTTGCATTGCTAAATTTATGCACGTAATGCTGATTATACACTCCTTACTCTAGGCACTGACATGATCTTGTTTTAATTTTTCCATATGATGATGTGTTAACACTCTTTCGACTTTGCAAGCATGTCGATTTTAGAAGAGAGGGAACAGGCGGTGATTCGTAACCTACAGTTGCTAAGAAGCATGGGATGTATGTCAAGTTAATTTGTTATGTGTAGTTTAGCTCTTACGAAGGTGGAAGAGCTAAGGGCTCACAAGCGGTGCGACGTCAATATCGTAAGTCTTTTGACCATAATTGGGTTTGTTTTCTAATTACAGGTGTTTCGTAATAAAATTAAACTGTTAAGTTAAACAGTTTTTTAAACAATTTTGAACTGCTTTTGCAATAATACCTTTTCAACAGCAGTGCAGCGCCCACTTTGCTTGGTTTTAAGATGATATTTTCGATTCTCATTTGCTTTCAAGATGTTTATTAAGTATTTTCTACTTTTCGGATTAGTGGGTGTGTTTGTGAAGATCATATTTTAAGTTTTTAATTCCTAATGGGAATCCTTTTATTTGATTTAGGGTGAATGATTTGCTAGCATATCTAGCTGTGTTTCTGATGGAAATAGTAAGAATAGCGATAAGTTAAATTGGGCGTTTAATTAACATCGGCCCTGATTCTTTGGCTTTCTTACTTGCAGTACTCGTGTAAAAGTACTTTGCAAACGTCCAGACGACTTCAAATTCAAGTTAACAACGTCCCTTTCAAAATAGACATTTTCATCATTTTATGTAATTAATAAAACTTTTCCCTGCCTTTTGAACTATCAGTCTTGCCATCGAACCGGTGCTGATTCCAGATATGTAGAATTATGCTTGCCCTGCCATTTGAGGTACCTGAGCCTTGTTTACAATAAATGCTTTTGATTGAATTCAAAATTGTTTAATCAAATGATGACCGCGTTGCTACCATTTTTCTTGACTGCATTAGATTAAGGGGTAATCTAAAATGTGCATGGTGATTTGACCTAAACTACCCATTTTCAGCATTATTAGTGTCATTTTCTTAACAAATCGTAAGCGGTTTTCAGTACCTGAAGCTGTTCTTAATCCCTCGCAGAAATCACAAATCCAGCCGAAACAAGTACCTCTGAAATTTCTAATACAAGCAGATGAATTGCGGACACAAAAGTCAAAGCGCTCACAAGATGATGTAAGTGATAATTCGGTATTCCATTTGTAGAGATTTCCTCGTTCCATCTTTTCAAGATCGCCTAGTGACAGTGACGACAGTAACTGGGGGAGTAGCGCTGAGGAGTTGCTTTCCAGTGGCTGCCTACCCATCTCACAACCAAAAATCCAGAAAGGAGACACTGTCGCAACCAATGCTGGCCCTTTTGGCTGTTTAAAAGTGGAGAAAGCTGACGTAAATGTAATTGAAAAGTTATCTAAAAGTATTGTTAAAAATTCTGCTACTTCGGGAGCTCTGATGGAACTGCATGGAGGTAGATTCCTTGCATGTTTTGCATAGTCCAAGCACTTTCAGATGGAACCTTTCCGAAAAGTAATATTACTAAATTGGAATACAGGGAGTCCACGCCAGATATCCAAGATGACCGCTATTTCTGTGAGTTTTTTCCTCTTTACTTAAATGAAGTATGAACTCAGTAAGTTCAGTTTTGCAATTTATTGGAAAGCAAATGTTTCGATGAGAAACAAATGGTCAAATATACTTAAGGTCAATTCTAACATTGTTCTTTTCTCATCATGAAATATCATAGAACGTAAGTGTACAATTTGCTAATGCTGTAACTTTATCTCCGAGATGGACATTTAACACTTCTTGAAGCTACCTAACAAAAACAACCACCAGCTGGTGCCTGATGGCCTTCATACGCGTAATTGTGTTAGTAATATTAATTGAGTAATGGAGAAGAGCCGAAATAGTAACTATTAAATTTGACAGTAAAGAAATAAATTGCACTTAGTGAGTTTGTGGGCAGTAAACTGTTCCAATTAAATAATCGAACTAAAGAACGGCAATTAAAAGAACTAAGAGAACTCATGATTATATATTCTGCGCTCGTTTTAGTCTGCTACATATGTGAAAAGTTTTACTTGGATCCCTGCCCCACACACCCAATCTTGTGGATTAGGTCAGCTGAACTGCTAGGATGTGATGCCGTAAAGTCCGGCAAAATCGACGACTGCAGCTGTGGCAAGGATGAACGCAACCACGCTAAAAGGTCAGCGCCAGAGCTCTTCATTCATGTAGGTCGGTCGAGTATCAAAGGAGCTGGCCTTGGTGCCTGGGCGGAAAGGAAAATCCCCATTGGTTCGGTTTTAGGGCCCTATGATGGTGAAATCATTCCTTTGGAAGGCTTGTCTGACGAGGAATTCGAAATGGTGCATAAATGATACGGCTTTAATTTGTGAGAACTTGGTCAACTTATTCAGCATCGACGCGCACAAATGCTGTCTATGATGAATAGAAAACCAAACCCATACCCATTTATAAGTGTAAATCAATCTTGAGCTGTAAGGACTTCTTGAAGCATGTTTGTCTGGAGCCCATTAGTTTGATTAAAACTATTTTTTTCTAAATAACCGCCTTACATTTTCAGAGATCACGTTCTGGATACGCCTGGTTGGTTAAAGATAACCGGCCTGGTACCAAAGGCCATCTTGTAGATGCGGCTCGGCCCATACTTTCAAACTGGTTAAGAGTGGGTTTTAGGCACATCTCAGTTCATTTCAAAGAATCTTCTCTGATATAAATTATTTACCAAGAAAGCTCAGCGGATTGTTTTATTCCAAGTTCATTATACGATTTATCGAACATGTTTTTTGGTTTACATAACTAGTAAATTGCTGATAATTCCTACCAAACCCATTCCTAGCATTTGCGTATTTCGTGTAAAATTGGGCTAAAATAGGACTTTGCTTTTTCAAACTGTTTGTTGATTTTAGTTTGTTAACTGTGCACGAAGTGAGAAGGAGCAAAATTTGGTGGCAATACAGTACAGGGGCGAAATTTATTACCGAGCCTGCAAAGTAATGTCTTTTTCAAGTTGAAATGAAGCATTTAGAACATTATGCCTGGCTATGAACTGTTAACATATTACGGTGATAAGGTACGTGATATTTTCAGTTCTTTTTTCTTAGCCATATCATTGGCGATCTTGGGAGTTTTGCAGCTAAAAAATAACTTTAGAACATGAATTAAAACTTTGGAATGGTTAAAATTTTAAATGCTTGAATTCATTATACATTTCCCTTCTTCCATAGTTTGCAAAGGAACTTGGAATCCACTACAAATCGTATATTGAAATTGAAAATCTCAAAACAGGTACGGCTGGTTCACTCAATCCAGACACTTGCGAAGGCTAGATAATTCCGTAAATATATGATTATAATCAACTTATAAGCAATTATTATTACAACCAAAATTTTGTCAGACGAAATATGGAATTCATTTTAGCATTTAAGTGTTCCAATGTTTTGTTTTTTTTTTGCAGAACCCTCTGACACCCGAAAATGCAGTGATTGCAATAAGGTGTTTCGTCAGAAGTCAAGTTTAGAGGAGCACCTCAAAGTTCACTCCACCTATTCTCCCTTCCAGTGTCCCGAATGCAAAGAAAGGTTTAAGAGAAAGGCATCTCTGAAAGCCCATGTGGAAAATCACACAGGTATTAATAATCCGATGTATCCAAGCCGATTACGGTTATTCTTTTAAATGCGTCTAAGGCACCAAAGAAGCGATATAGTATGATCGTTAAAACTTAAATGCGCTTATTTATCATGTAAATAAATGGAAGTGTAATCTACTGTATTTATTGTATATTTCATCAAACAAACCGGTATATGACCCAATTTCCTCTAAAGCACTCATTGTCTGAAATTTACCACAATTGAAATTAGATTGGAACGAAACTGCTTAAAATGAGGGAATAAAAAGCCCTTATTGTTTATAATCTCCATTTATGATTTCCATAAAAACTATTCGACAGTTCCATGATCCGCACTAAGAAGTGGAATGAAAATGAAATTTTAAGTTTTTAAATGGATACGGAGTTGGTGTTATTGTGATAACAAATAGAAAAACATAACAAGAGACTGAATTTAGCGCACTTTAATAGAAGGATCCCGGATACTTTGTCAGTAACCATGACTTCTATAAATGCATAAAATTCACTTAGCCAGACTTATAAGGAGACAGTGATAACAGCAACGGCATAAGCGCCGATATCAAAGAGTAAATTAAGAATCAAAACATAAAAATGGAAAAAGTTTTGCCTATAATTGCACATGTATTGACTATGTTGAAAGGCGTTCTTTCCTTAATAATGCATCCAGCTTACTGAAGGACAACCATGCATGGTAGATGGTAGAAGCTTGTTCAATTATTTGCGTGTGCAACAGGTCGTGTGGAAGAAGTCGTGGGTTTTATCATTTATACGCGTTTTAGGATTAAAACCCCATCTATGCATTGATTGTGGTAAATCATTTTCAAGGCGCGCTTATCTTCTGCGGCACGCCGCCGCAAAACACAGAGGTGAATTGAATTACTTTGTCAGTATTTTTATAGGTATATTACTTTATAGAATTCATATACACATGGCTAGTGGTCAACTTTGGTGATTGTGCGTTAGCGCTACCTCTAACCCACGACAAAGATGCTGGACTTCTCTTAATACTGTTCGTTTCAGGATTGAAACCGTACCCATGTAGTGATTGCAAAAAATCCTTCCCATATTCCTCAAGCCTTCGCACTCACGTTGCCACAGTTCACAAGGGTGGGTTAGTTCATTTCTGGCTATTTACATTTAGTGTTTTTTTAACCTATCCATTACATTAACTTTTAACAGCACGATTTCGTAAAAATCTTTCCATTAACTCTAATGGTACTTTACTACAACTGAAAAACTCGTTCGTTCAAGTAATACAGCAAGTCTGTTTTATAGGTTATAATCCACGAAAATGAAATGTTTATCTGACACGAGACTCTAAAATGCCTTTCGCATGTTCATTATAGGATTGAGGCCGCATCGGCGCAGCGATTGCGGTAGATTGTTTCCATGTCGCGCTTATCTTCAAATGCATGTCGCTTCAAAGCACGGGGGTAGGTTAAGTTGCGCTACCAGTCACGTCGCAGGCATGTTACTCGGCAGAAGTTGCATATATCCTTCAGCTATTTAGATACCTACTATTACCATGAACATGTCCTTAAATATACTGTATGATATCCTTCACTGAGTTCTTGTTTTAGGACCTCCTTTTGAATTTTAGTCCTTGGTGCCGTCCTTCTGGTAATGTTGTTGACTTTCGGCTTTCTATTTTTAGAAAATCAGTGAACAATTTTAGTGGATCAGCGCCTTTTAATTCGTTTTTTCCCCATCTTTGTAATTGTGGCATTTTTATAATGCAATTCCACTTTTGTAATTTACATCCCATCCCACTTTGTGTGATATTTTTCCTAGACGTGACAATATCCCAACACTTTAGTATTTGTTTAAAAAGTTCGTTCTGCCTCACCTTTTAATGTTATTTATTAAAAATCTTTGAGCCAACTTGGTTTGAATTTCAGTTTTTCCAATTAAATTTAAACTCATATATCTCATCATAAATAGCTTCTTGTTTTCTTCTGATACTGTAGTAAATACGGCCCATAAATCCTTTTTTGTCAGAATTTTTTAACCTAGCAGACAAAGCGTTGCCATATCATTTTAAAATGCATTAAGCATATACAGTCTTGTGACTATTTTAAAATAGCAGGCAAACAATGGGGATGGACTCACACTTTATGCAGGCTTCTCATTTTAAACATGTTTATCATTCCGTCTTTAATGAGTTTTACGATTTCTGCAAAAGCTACTCGCACCATTTTTACGGTACGTTTACTATCTGTCAGCAGTTAAAGAATCCATCTATATGTTAATAAATCATACTAAAATTAGGAGAATATGAACAGCTAAGTTGTTCCCCTTACTAGAATTTGTAATGTTTTAACTGTTTGTTTAACTCTGGGTTTTGCATGTGGGCTACTTAACACTCCGCCATTGTACCTCAGCCAAGCGGCCTGGCCTCGGTGCCATGCCAGTAGCACCGCCCAGCCCTTCTATGGGTCGATAAAGCATATTCTGCTTAAGTCTTAACACCTCTTTTGTCTTCCGGGAAGTCGCAGTGTGCTAAATGCTAGAAATGACAACATGGAAATATACCAGATCTCTTATTTTCACCAACTCGATGCTGATTACATAGGAGTATCTAGGGCGCTGCCTGCTTTAGCTATGTTCATTGTGCAAATGGTGAATGGGATTTATTGGTGCGTTTTCTTCCCAACATAACTATAATGCGTTTTCACGGTTTCAACATCTAAAATTGGATGCCGCTCTCCGATGCCACTATTGTTTAACTAAATTTTTCACTGCCTTATTATCGAGCAACATTGCATGTTCCTCTTGATAGCGATGTTATTGGATACTTTATGGACGAAGTAAGAAATAATTTATGCAAAATCCCCATTAGTTAATTTTGACTTACCAAGATGGCCTCTATCCTTTTAATCATAAATCAACCTTTTGGTATCCAGACCATTCCCAGTATGAAATCAGGCATCACTGCCCACATACCGGCTATTTCAACGTACCAAATACAATTATGGGTTCAAGTTTTTATTTACAGCCTTACAAAATCAGTAATGGAGCAGATTGGTTTCAATAGTGCCTTCGTACAGCCTTGTTATATGAATATGATGCATCTACTAAGAAGTTTTCTTTGCTGTCTAGTGTAGGTTTCAAGTCAGCTACTTTTGCTTGAACAACAACTGTATCAAAATTCAATATCATTTATTCACGCTTTGCTATGAAACTTATTCACCTCCACGGATTTTTCTTTGAGATCGGTGTTATTGACAGTCACAGTTGTAGCTCAAATATCTTAGGTGGCTGACTCGCCTCCATTAGTCAAATCTCTCCCAAAAAGATTTTTCCATCTCAGACCATTGAAGAAATTGCATCTACTGAAATGTATTTTAAATATGGTAAAGTTAAACCACTTTATTCTGGTCTTTTAAAATAGCAATACAACTGCAGTAAAACATGGAACATTTTGTTAAGTGCCATTCCTTTATTGTAGTTGTCGGCAAAATAAGTGTCTATTACCACAAGTATTCGCGTATAATCAGGTCTTTTCTTGTTATGGGTGGTATTGAGAGTGTGGTTTTCACTCAGGTACATCCATTGTTAAATACCTAATGGAGGGGAAGTTCGGAGGATTTTAATATGTCATCTAGCCTCTTTTGGTGTTCAAATTGTGAGATTGGGCATTTTAAAATGACCCCGTTGATGTAACTTTCATTGCTCATTCTTTATTCGTAAGCCAAATCTTAAAATGCATTTATTATTGAAACAAAATGAACCCAAGTAAAGGTCCAGAAAACATCACACCAAATCGATACCTGGTTTCTACTTCTTTGCAAATCTTTGACACTTTTTACCGTTCATGCGGACCATTTAGTCATTGCATTGTAGATCACTGTTCCAGTGGTGGTGTTCTAGTCTCTCGATTACTGCTGGTAACCCGCTGGCCTTTTGCACATAATCGGTTATCTAACATCCACACTCACATACCACATTAACAACTTCAAGAAGGACTCGAACTGTAGAATTGGAAACTCCTTCTTACAATTGGATTGCCTCATGCATCTTGCACGGATATTCTGTTTTGAGCCGACGGATTTACCTATTCATAGTTGATGCCCTTCTTCTTCGACATTTAGTCGTAGCAATCAGCCAGAGAAATTGAGGTCGTCAGTCCTTCAAAATGAATTCGTTGACATTCCTGCCAATGTCGTGTAGTTTTGCATTCAGCATCAAGCTCATTTTTGAAATTCAATAAAGATTGTAGATTAGCAGGGAAGGAGTGATACAAGCAGGGGCGTGAGGTTGGTAACAGTCTCATCTCCATGTTCCAACAAATCTAGAAGGAAACATTTTGCTGTGGTGCAGCGATTGATTCGTTTATTTCTTTTGAAACTTAACAGTTTCTTTCCTTTGATACTTTTTGGGTTGTGAGAAGCAGACTTTGCCTGCCAATAAAAGTGTCAAATTGATAACTTTTGCATCTGTTTTTCTGAGCCCTTCCATATAATGGCTTTTCTTCAAAATCTATTTTACCGTTAACGCAATTTTTGCCTTTAGCGCTACTAAAGGCCATAGCCAGGTATGTAAAGCTTGATACTGATTTCACTATTACATAGAGAGCTATCAAAACTTCCTAGAAAACAAAAGAAGGCACAAAAGTAGGGCAGACTAGTGTATTATCGATTTACAGAAGGGTTAGAAGGCTACTGGAACGGCCCCGAGGCCATTTTATCCAGCAAAAGTACAAAGACCTAGATTTAAGTGTCACTGAAACTTAAACGAAGAGTTGAGCATATAATTGAAGAATTCCACAGCTCCCTCTACTTTTGAGCCTCGTGTCCAGAACTCCTCTCGGTCAACCTCTCGCGTCAGCCATCACAACGTAGTCGGTGTTCTAAGAAAAATACCCACAAACAATGCCATTGACTTCTCTAAGCAATTCTACTGGATCTGGAGTTCCATCTTTTTTGGCAACTGAGTTCAGGGATGGGAAAAATGCGCTAGCCATCTCGCAGATCCATTAATATTGGTCAGAAAACTGGTCTAAAAGCAGTCATATAATTAATGTCAGGGTTTAACAGAGCTCCGCGTCTGTTCCTCTTTGCCGGTTTATTTCCACTTCAGTGTTCTATCTGGGGTTCATTCAGCTAGTGGCGAAGTAAGGTTAACATCGCGTGTTCACCTCATTGGCATCTTCATAAAGTTATCGTTGTCAGCTCCGTAACGAGCCTTTCCAGATAATGCCGTTTCAGTTGCTAATAACTTCCTTGCAGACCACGGGACTTGGACGTCATTTTTAATTCTTTTGTAAAGGTCCAATGCAGACTCTCCCATCCGCAGCATATGCTCTTCCTCCATCGCGTTTCAGAAATAAAAAAATAAAATAAATAAAATCAAACTGTTTGTAATCTAGGCTTCGTTTTACCTTCCACTGCCACCAATATGTCGTATTAAATCTTTCCTCAGAACAAAGGATGTATTGCCGACGTAAAAAAGGGTTGAGTGCCTCTGGACGGAAGTGCGATCGTTGTGCCCTTCAGTGTCCGAGTAATCCAAGCAATATATCACATGAATAATTGAACAACCATTGTTTGCCCAATCTTATGTGGATCAGTTAGCTCCAAAATGTGCTTTATTTGTAGTGATTTGATGCTTATTCAACATTATGGAGGTCAGATTCTAAAACAATGTGCAATAGGTGATTTTCCACATCTGTTTTACTGTAAATAACCCTATTGTCACGAAATCCGCTTCCGGTAACTTCCCAGGACCTACATATGTAGTGTATTCCATCAAGAAAACAATGAATGATATCATCTCCACTTTGTAAACTAATACTAGTTCTGCTTGTTCTCCCTTGCAAACACCCCAACATTACCACCCTGCGGACGTGTAAGGAGATATCAAGCCTTAGTTGAACACGCGTTTTCGATATTGAAGGGCTGTACCTATCTTGGCTCTATCCCAAACCTCGGCTATTCTGGTCATGATCTCGAATGAATCCAGGCTCAGCCACATAAACACTATTTCCTTGCAGACACCTACCCATATTTTGTGTTGAACAAGAAGTTTTCAAGATTGACTTAAAAAAATCAACAAATGTCTGAATTTGTTTTTTTTTGGACACTACACCTCATTTGACTTTCCAAGAGCCATCGGCGACCGTCCACTCCAGTATGCCTAGACTCATTAAGAATAATGTCTCAAGCAATTAGGATGTAAAATTGGCTACCTTGTCTTGCTTATTGGTCACCCTCTTGCGACTCTACGTGCTAAATCTAACATTCCCGACAAACCTTCTCCTAGTTGATATCAGAAACAAAAGCGATGTTTGATCCCAGTCCCACGTACAGTTTTTCAGCACAACATTCATTTGGTACACTTGAGATCTTTTGAAGTTTAATTCGAAACAGGTAAATTGCACGAACGGTCAGCAGCGCGATTACCGACGGTGGCTTCGATAGGGGGACGAAACCGATGAAGGTTTTGTGGATACCTGTGGGCAGAGTTCATGGCCGCTCCAACCATATTTCTCGCGTTTTGTAACTGTTGGAGGGAGCGGTGTATAGAATTTAGGGTTAATAAGTTCACCTGTACCACTAGCTTTTCCACTATGGTCAGACTCAAACTGCCCAATGCTCTTATCTAGTATAGATTGAGCTCTGGATTTGCATCTAAAAAGTGTAAACATTTTGCCACTTTCCGCTTTAAGGCTCTAGGAAACGATTTGACTTGTCAGGCTTTTCTCTTCAACTTGACGCTGATGAAATTCCAAACATAAGCAGCAGTCAGCTCTACTTTCTAGAAATTGTAGCATTCCACACAGATCTTGATCAACAAATGCATTTCGTTTTAGATATGTTGTCATTACATTAACTTTACAGGAAGTACCCTTGCAGTGCATTTTTCATCAGGCAAAGTGTTTCGCGAATATTTTCAAAATGCCATTTGCTCTCATGCTTTATCTAAATATCGCGATTATGGAACATAGCGAACTAAAAACACTGTACAAATTCCCTGGTAATATGAACCATTTGACAAAGATACCTCTACTAGAGAACTTGGAAGCCCAGCGAGTCCGTGATAATGGTGCTACAATGCTGCGAAAAAGGTTGCGAACTCGCGGTGTTGTTTACAAATTCAAAGCAGCGTGCAAATTTCAATCCACAACTTTGGTTTGAAAGCCAAACTAATCTAAAATTAAAACAACTTGCTAAAAAAGGTTAGTTTATGATAGAAAAATAGTGTTTTGCGAATGCAAGCACAGGTATTGCAGCACCCCGAGTCTAGGATAGAAAATGTACCGTAGACGTGTAGAAGGTCTGACGGATTACCGGCATGGCCTAGAAGCCATTCTGCGGACTTCAGAACAATGGCATAGCCTCAAGTGCCTGCGAAACAAAATGAAGAGTTAAACAAGTAATCGGAGTATTACGCAGACCCCTTCACTATTTGAGCGACGTCCACGGCGCTCCCCTTAGCCAGCCTCCTGCGGCGGCCATCTCAACGTATTAAGTGCTGTCAGGAAAAGCACCCACGAACCAATCGCGTTAGTCACGGAATTCGCGTGCAGCTGAGAGGACAATTGACCATAAAGTCACCAAGCCCTCTTGGCAATTACACTGAATCCAGAGTTTCGTCCTGTTTGAAACTACATTGGAGGAAGGAGAATGGTGCAGACCATCAAGCAAGTCCATCGCTTGTCGTAAGAACACGGGCATAACAGTAGATTCATTTGGCAAAGAGCGGAGTTTGAACCAGTCTGTTCCTCCTTGCCACTTTGTTCTCGTTTCAGTGTCCTATCTGGGTTTCAGACAGCTAGTAGGTAGGTAAAGGTGGCGTCACGTGCTCACTCGATTAACATCTTCATGCAAGTACCGTAGTAAGCTCCGTTACGAACATTTCCGGATGTTTCACGACCACGGTTAGTGTCGCTTCAGTTGTTAACAGCTTGCCTGCAGAACACAGGACTGAAGCACTTGCCGACGAAAGACTTCGTATTCAACTTTTCCCTCCTCCACAGTGTTTGCCTATCTTTCTTCACGTTAAGGTTTAGCATCCAAAGATAAAAATCAGAGTGATTATCCTTTAAAAGTAGGTATGCTTTTCGTTGCCGCCAATGTAGCACCCTAAGTCTTTTTTGAAGCCAAAAGAAGTCATAATACAAGGACAAAAATGTACCGTCGAAGTACAAAGGAGCTGAGAGGCTATTGGCATGGTCCGCAGGCCATCCCACCCAGTGGAAACATAAAGGCGGAGCCTTCAGCACCCATGAACCCAAAATGAAGTGTTTAGCAAATAATCAAGGTATTACAGATAGGCTCTCTTTGAAAAAGAGGATTCTCCATCTCAGAACGTGATTTAGCTGCCGTCAATTCAACGGTAACGTATCGTAGCTGGACCTGTTTCGACGACCTCGACGCCTAGCAGCGAACACAATCATGGCAAATAAGACCAAATACCAGTATCCCAGTTTTGACATTTTAGTAAGTCCAAAAGCAATAATACCTCTGAAGTAAAGAAAGTTCTGAAAAGTGAACAGTTTGTGTCAAATGCAACCATTTTAGATCATCCGGCTTACTTACATTGTCGAAAGAATTTTGCTTTTTCTCTATGCCAAATGACGTAACTGCTCCGACCGTCGTGCTGATGTGAAGCAACGCTCATGCTGCCGATACTGGCACCCCAATCCTTCCGAACGCAAATTGTGAACCCGCCTTCAGGCCAGCCTGCTCAATAATATGCTCGGAAAGACACGGAGTCCCAAATTGTACCGTTTTCTAGTGCTAATGGTCACTACGACAAAAGCATATAACACTGTTTGCTTCAGTCCCAAGTTACTTGTCTTCCAATCGGCGCCACGTGAGTCTGACATCGCAGACTCAAGAAGCATAACGACTAGGCGATGAACTAAATGTCATCTTTTTCCCAGCGAGGGAACGCTTCTAATAATCCAGCAGATGAGGTGTTCCCATAAAGATAATCGAGTATACAAGCTTACTCCATTTCATATCGAAGCTCTGGAAGCGACGACCACAAGACGCAGACCATGCGGCAAAATGATCACGCCAATCCTTTACGGTATCCCACAACCCATCTCCCTGTTGGTGACATAAGGCCTGATTACTAGCCTCGCAAGCCTTTTTCTTTTACAGCTCCGAAAAAACCGACTCTCGACAATAATCACACATGGAGCGGCGGATGATAATTCCAAGGATGCGTTCTAATGGTAAGCATTAACTCCTACTGGAGTCTTGGTAGCCCTATATTCTCTCCCTCAGATGCAAAATATAAAATGGCGTTAAATTATCTCCGAAATCTATGATATGCGAAGGATAATCATTTTGAGAAAAAGTAACAAGGTGAAAAATGAAGAGGCGAAAGAAGAATGGCGGGTAGGAGCATCAGAGGCAGGGAAGACACACACTTACACCTACTTCAACACGTCCCAAAATCAAGAAGAAAGAGTAAAGCTACATCCCGCTTATCCCCCTCCTCTTCCACTCCCTTGCCTATCGCAGACGCGGTTGAGGCGTCACCCACTTCCTTTATGCCCGAGGCGGCCAAAACCGCGCTCATCGTGGCCGCCCGCTGCTCAGCTGAGAGTACACTTGAGGTCGCGGCAGGAGTGATATTCAGGTAATCAAAGGTCATCATGACTGTTGCGCGCAGGACACCTCCAGAGGTTAGCATCGTGAGGCCAGTGTTTATGCCCACCTTATGGCCCTGTCGGTAGGCAATCACCCTACAAATGAATTGAGTGGGTGAGTGAATAACACTGATGTTCGACTTAACTCATTTCTTCGTGAATAGATTGCCTGAAGACATAAGTTTCAAACACCTAAGTTCTTGTAAAAGTGCCCTCTTGATTGAATAGTCCCACTCGTGTGAATAATACTTACTTGGAGTCATCATCCTTGAACTCATCAGTGCCCTCAGTAGTTGTCAAATCGTTGTACTCACTGGCATCACTCTTCGCCGCAATTCTGATCCCATCCGCAGGAAGGTCCAACTAAAATCACACACACACACGCGCATATCCAACGCGCCAGCCATCAGTAACTCTAGAAATAAGTGAACAGGCGGGTAGACACACCTTCACAGTAGAGTAAGTGTTGCCAGCACCAAAAACGCTTCCATTCTTGGCAAAAAACTCTGCAAGTTTGGCGTTCTCCTCTTCAGCAGTCAGTTGCCGCAAGCGCACTGTAGTAACACGATGTGCAGGATTCGAGACGATCAAAACCACATTGGATGCTTTACTCATCGAGAATCCCTTGACTCGAAGCACGCTCGAAGGCGGCGCACTGTCGAAGCCGAGGGTGGGCAGAGGCAGTGGAGTGATGCGGCGTCGACCGATGTCGCCGGCGGAGTCAGCAAGGCTGGAGGGCGGTAGAGCAAAGTGCAGATCGGGCACGTGGCAGATGGCGCTTAGATTAATGCGGAATTTGGTATAACTCGGATTAAAATCTGCCTTGCTCAGAGTGTGTTCACACTTTTTACAACGAAGAGAACGTTTCACTGCCAGTGCTTTGTGGCGTGGTTCGAGACTCCTGGTCTCTGTCGGTTGTAGAGCCGGTGCCATGTGACGCTGCAGTGCAGAGGTCGCTAAAAAGCAAAGAGAAGATGCTTGCGCTTGAGCCCTTTTGTCTGCTTTATTCAGCATTCCAAGCATGAAGACGTAGACGGCCAATAGGTCTAAAGGGGAAATGAGTAAAACTGTCCGTCTTTTTTTTTAGCAGTTCGTAAGAATCAAAAGGTGTAAACACGGTTCCATTTGGCAAAGATGAATTGGCTTGAACCATAGAAGGGAGAATTCGTTATCAAGACCTCAGAAGAAAATCAACCATCACAGCCCAGCCGTTTTATTGTTCAAATACACCAACTCTTTCATGCAAATGTGCTCCATATTGTAAGGTGAAGACTTAGGTAAAAAAACCGTGACGACAATGTAAAGTCGGTAACAAATGCGCTAAATTATATTACCAAATTTTGTCCTTTACTTTTACGCAATACTAGGTCTTACAGCAATGACGAAGTCAGTGGAAGTGCTCACCACGGAGTAGACTCTTTAATGAAAAGAAAATAAACACTAGATCTTGTAATAACTATATTTTAACAGCGTGTACAGCATTGCTAATTTAGTACTTATGTATATAAAGTAGCATTTACACCTCTGTCCTCTAACCCGACAAAAAAGGTAGTGGTGCAATACTACGGTTAAAAGCACTAGAGGTAGCCCTTTCAAACAACCAAAGTGTTTAACATCGAATATAGTCTAAACAATATCACTTTAAGAACAGCAAACAAAAGCGCCCGCAAAGTACGTGATTGATACATTTTAAGGTCTTCCAAAAGTCAATTATAATCTATGTAAAATTTCGCCTTCAAAAGAATTAATTGGCAAATTACAAAAGAATGAGCAACGGAATAGGTAGTGTGCTCCTTTCAATCTCGTGGTAAAGTAAAAATGTCCAAAAATAGAATATTCCTTTGCACACTTGACTGAATTCAAGCGAAGGACACATAGAAGCGAGACCCACAATATTACACTGGCATTCACTGAACTTCAGCATCCGAGAAATTGGGTGTCGATTGGAAATATCAAACTTGTGTATCAAAAATATGTCCAATATATTCCACTTCTGGGGAACAAAATATGTAATACCACTAAAATTTGATTCCATAAACACTTCTGGGGATTAACTTGGAGACATTCATAGTGGGCACAGGCACCTTGCAGCGGTAAAACTACTTCTGTACTTGTAATTAAACGATACTAGGTAGTACATAAAAACTTGATTGCCTGATGATTCTTCAGCTGCAAATCAAGAATGAATGAGTGCAAGTAGCATTAACATTTTTGAGGGTAACTGAAAATACCTCACCTCTCTCAAAGGAGAACGGTTTGTTGACCAACTCGTCGACATTAAAACTTTCAGTGATTGCTTGGGCCTGAGCAGCCGAAATTTCAACCTCTGGACTGGGATTCGTTTCACGGCTGAAAGAACCAAATAACCCACACAGAGGATCTTCCGAAAACCCTAACGCAAAATCGGCCACCTAGTATAAGGAACTTATTTGATTCAATCCAGTTTTAGATCTGACGCATTGTTAACACTTGAACCGAAACTACGACCCAAAGAAAGCTGGTTAGATGGAAGGTGTGTAGTAATACTTATTCAAGCTAATAAAGAAGTAACAAACCCATATAATCCCCGGTTGGAATAACGGCGTCGAAAACGAGGTGTGAGAACGGGAAATTTTTCCTGTAATTTACAAAAACAAGAGAGAGTAAAGCACTGTACACGGCAGACTGAATAGCGGGTGCTAATCACAGCTGGACAGATAGAGAATCAATTTTGCATGCTTGACTGGCAAAGCGTGGAGGATGGATCACAGTACTTGCGTGGTATATTGTACGGGCATGCACAGGAGAAAAACTTACCTCCAAGTGAATCTATTTAGCAAGTTGAAAAAGAAGACGCTTTGTGCACGTTTGTGGCTGCATTTGCATTTATGGATGCGAGCATAAAAATAGAGTTTTGTACCTTGAAGCAAGTCACAACAGAACGAGGTGGTTGAGTTACTCAAATCGTATTACTCATGAGAAGCATCCACTCCCGGCATTAAGGTATATAGTCCAAATTAGCAAATGACTTGTTAGAATGACCCCAAAAAACATAATGTTCTCTGATTAGATCCCTGCCATTCCTGTTTAAACGGGCTACATTCAGGCACTAACGGCTCTCATAAGGACCAATGCAAAAAATGCAGAAACAAAAGCAGACTTGCCAAAGAAAGAATGTATGTTCTCTTCTTGTACTTGCTGCGTTCGCGTTCAGTTTTTTCCTTGGCAGCCAGTTGACGATACTCGGTTATCAGTGTTTCGATCTAAAATGAGGTAAGACTAGTTTCAACCGTAGGAACTAAACGAACTAAGCCGAGGATGAATGACAACAGTCAAATCACTCGACATTAAAGCAGAATGTTATAAAGTTCAGGCTGTACATTTGAATTTGCAATTTGAACCTCCAACACGCTGCACTCCTGTCGAGGCTTCAAGCCCTGCTGAACCACCACATCAGAGGTAATCGCGGGCCTGCATGCTTTATGATGATTTAAAAGGCGACTCAAATGCCAGACCAATACATGATCATCTCATTGGTGATTTTAATAACTCGGTTGCCCTGTGAGTAAAGAATGAGCAATTATGAAATAGGATTTCAATTTTTTTATTTAACTGTGCATACTTCCTCCTCCCCATCTTGCAACTCGGTCCTCACACTAACGCCACACAGTCCAACCTTCCAACTCTTCTAGACACCTACGACAACATCTGTGGGACATGCGATTTCTTCAGAAGAGGTGTCAGCCACACAAGGACACTGCCAATCCCTAACTATCAAATTGTTTTCTGAGGTTGACTAACCATTAAGGATGCTTCACAATGACCAATCTTATACACTAAATGACATAATGATGCTATCATACACCCAATATCAGACCGGCGAGATAAGCATCAAAAAGCGCACCTTCGCTACGTATTAAAGTAGTAGATTGTGGGAGCAGAAGGCATCATAGCTAGGTAAACAAGCAGATACCCCTCTACTACACCATCAATTAACTCACCCGCTCAGCGTGGGGGTTGGGTGTCTCATTCCATCCACCCGGAGATTTCTGGTCGGAAATGCCGCTTTCACGAGTCGACCAACGACAAAATCCACAGAGGAGGTAGTAGGTCTTTTGAGCAGTCATCGGTGAATCACCAGATGTGGGATCAGCTGGTCCTGTACCAGCGGCTGGCGCCAAGGCGAGAGTACCGCGGGTTGAAAGAGTGTGACCACAACTAGGACAATCAAAACAATTGCCACAACGGTGTTTGCGCATCTTCGCCTCTGCACTGGTCATGTTCTCCAAACAATTAGGGCAGTAATGTGAATCCACCTGGGCAGGTTGACAACGATCAGAATTTTGCAAATAAAAAAGTAGATATGGAATAGGAAGGAACGCACTTCATGCGAAACGCAGTTGCCACATCTGACATCGTAACAATGTCGGCAAAAGTAGAGCTGAGATAAGGGACAGCAACGATTGCAGGAGCAAAAACCTTGCACTCTACAAAGATCGAAGTAGGTAGCCATTGGTCACTCTGAAATCATAAAAAATAGAAAACAAAAGTAAATATAAAATAACGTTAAAGAATCCGCAATAAATTCTTGTTGACCGAAAAGGAATAAGGAAGATCAGGGTTTAGAGATGGATGATGTTTGTTAAGTCCATTAAAGTCGACTTTGGAAATTATAGTGGAAAACACAGGAGCATTATTCGCCAAATTTGCAAGTGCGGCGAAGCAACTAGTGCATCTATATAAGACAACTTCTTAAGATATATCGACTAGACGGCTTCTATCGCAACCTGGAATATGCATGGGAAGACTTACCAGCTCGACGGGCGAAGAGCGTATATATGAAGGGGGTGACTTTCAGCGTCTTCAAACAATTGTTTGCAAACAAAAGATATGTAGAACTGCTTTCTAGGCAAAAGCCATTAAGTATGCGTAGGCGTTTTTAGCAAAATTTCGCTACCCTTTCTGTTAATAAGCCAAAAGTTTCCTATGAATTGTGTGGCAATTCTAAAAACGTTTGGCCCAAATTTGATGTGATTTGTCTTATTTCAGGTGGACTTTTGATATAACTGGTGCCTGCTACCAAAACATGTATAAAAATTCGGTTTGATTCGCTCCCGCAATAATGTGTAAATTGTCCTGTAAAGTCCGTATTTTTAGCTAAGCCGGGCTTGAGTTGCTTTTTGTGACTAAATGAGCTTTAATGTTACTTGTGCTTGAGTCACATTGGACTGTGCTCGTACTGTAAATTTGAGAAGAGGTTCTGCGCATGCAGTTAAATCGAAATTTAACCTTGTCTTCTTTTTTATTATTTTCCTTCCGGCGTTAGCAGAAGCATCTAGCGAAAAATGAACCACATGTTTTGCTAATTCGCCATATCTTATTTATTAGAGTAATGTAATCCCACTAATTTACAGTAGGTGCTGATAATTCGCCAGCCAATCCATGATCAGTAAATTACATGCATTAGATTGGCGAATGATGGTTGCATAGATTTGTTCACGCGTTATCGGAGTTCACTTTGGTAATGGAATCATTCTCTGCAGCACTGGAAACTGCAATCATTAAACTCAATGTAATGCATTCAGGTTCAAATTTATACCATTAGACCACCACTTCTGCCTCGGAACGCAAACAATGTGAAGATGTGGTCCTTGGATTTCGTAACGCCACTCATCCCTATGAATTATGCAAATATATACTCAGTATGTTTTCTTTATAGTTACAATAGAGGCAGAGACTTAGTCCAATGCCATTAAACATTGAGTACATGCTTAAGAGGAGGTTTTGTAGCGCACTTTACTATTTTTCTTTTTCATCTCGGCGGGTTGTTTTCTCACTGTCGTCATTAATTTGAATATTTTACTGCGTGAATGATTTCCAATTTGATTTTTGACCCGTTCTTAGGTCCTAAAGTTATATTTCCTCAAGATACTCATATTTTCCTACCCATTAGGTACATCGCGCGACTCCCAAATGCTGTACGAGGTGGGGAAGTGTCTCTCAAACGCCGTTATTCGGGAATGGAGCACCGTTTTATGTCCAAACGGTGGCCAGTTAAGTGCTGGCAACATGATTGAGTCCATGCCTTATCGGCTACTATGCTACCTACTTCATTGGGTAGCATCGTGCGGAAATGAAGTAGGCATCTGTTGAGCATGATGTGAAAGTGCTGATTAGAAGCTCTTATTATTTTAGTTCACATGTTCTTGGAAGGAATTGACATCATTTCAATCCGCTACATTTTATTAACTCCCACAGAACCGTATCACTGTTAATTCCTGAAGAGCATATGCCGCGTTTAGTCGGTTTTAATTGCTTACAAACGGATTTGATGCCAATTTAAGGCACCGATTTGGTCGATTTACTAGTTATCTTAGATTTATTCCGCTACATGGCTCATTAAACGTTGGTCACCCGAAAAGTTTTCAAATCCGAAGGTGATCCTATCAGGTATCATAACTAACCATCTTTAAAGACTGGGTATTGGCTTGACCCAGTGGCGCCAGCGCCTTAAAGACTCGTAACTTATCTGAGGTCTATGCAACAAGCGTTTGTTCTACTTGTTTCTAGACTGGCTTTTAATCATTTCTCTTTCATTAGGTCGAATCATTTGCACGGCAGAGCATTCTGAGTTCTGTGGCGTCCATAGTAAAGCGCGCCGCAGCGGCTGAAGCACAGTGCAGTCTCAGTCAGAGCCCACCGCACATGCGTCACGCAGTACCCTCTCTCATTTCACCGTCTTTCGGAAATCCTGGTCCCCCCAGTCCTCTCGTCACTTTTTTTCTCCAAGAACTCAGTAGTCTCCTCTCTCCGATACCCGTCTCCTCATCATATCAGGTCGGTTTCCTTTCTCCATTCCAGTCTACACACTCATACTCTAACTTCGTCCTACTTTTCCAGGCAGAGTTTCCTCGTCTCTCCTTTGGCCTGGCAATTCTTTCCGCCTTTCTGGACGAAATGAGCAATGCAGATCAAGATGCTGCCAGTCTGAATCTCCCACTGGAGGCCCATATTTATATGCAGGCTAGATTTCAGGTAATGAGAGGCCATTGACATTTTCGCCATATGGCAATCATTTTTAACCCCGCTTTTGCTGCCGCTGACGTTGTTTTAGGACTTTGAGCTACTTCAAATCTTTCAATTTCTCCTCCGCTTAGTGGAGAGCCTTCTCTGTGCCCGTGATTGGCCGACAGGGAACGTAGAAAATGATGAAATGACCTACCGTTTGGTGCATTGTCTTGAAGTTATCACATCGTGGAACTTTCTTCCCGAACACAGTGAGTTTTTGGCGTTTTTTTACTCTTTAAAATGTGCTGTGATACAGAAATGAAGGTCATCTAGAAGCACAGTTGATGTATTTCCATGTCTTCACATTAATCTGGAGTGTTGTTCTGACGCTCCCCAGTGTTGGGTCTCTGCGTCGGCTATCCAGTCTACAGATTATCATGCACCACGGGGAGATAAATCCACTTTTGATAAATGCAACACTTCTTTTCCACACTTTGAGGGAAGATCCTATCCTGAGAGCTGGGCGGTTTTCTCCCGCTTGTAGAGAAAACTGACAGTCTTCATCTTGGCTCTATTTCTTTCACTCAAATGCTGTTTGCGATGTTGATGGCCACCATTCGCTCTACGCCCTCAAGGCGAGGAATAAAAGTTGCCTAGATTAGCCGAGTTGACTTGGCTACCGTGACAAAGTGGAAGCACCGTAGCTTCCTCCGTAAATCTACGTGTTTTTACCCTCATTAATATCACTTGTTTCGAGCAGTTTAACACCTAAGGCTCCATTGTTTTGTTTCGCTCTATCAAAATTCACCTTATCATCCTTCTTTCCTCTCCTGTGCAGTTGTCGACTTCACTTGCCTGCGACCGATGGAGAAAAAGAATTTGGATTTTCGTCCAAGTGAAAGTTGGGCTTGTGTTGTCGGTGTCAATGCGATCTCTGCTACCCTCTCCCTCTTCTTGAAGGTTAACTTTTTGTTCATTTTTCTCGACGGATTTGTATGCAAGCCTCCATCCATCTGTTGATGTTTGAATTTTACATCCAAGTTTCGTGTTATTGCGTAGGTAATGCTAATTTCATGGCATAGAGCAAATCGGTTTTCCCATCAAATGGGAAGTAGTTTTCTAGCCTATTAAGGTAGCTTGATAGTGGCATGGAGATTGTATGGCCTACTGTGCATCCTTTTGAGAACGCAATTTTATTTTGGTAATGTTTTCGTCCTAGAACTACCCAGTGTAAACAACCCACAACACTGATAAGTTGGACTTTTTGTGACCTAGTTAGCTGAGAGACGTTTGTGGTCCTGAAAATGTCACTAGATGGCCGACCTAAACTTGAGAAATTTGCTGAAGGCTTGGGTTTAAAATCAAATCTGTCGCACTAGCGAATTCACTGTGCCGTATAGGCATGGCATGAAAGGCGAACCAATCTGCCATTTCTTATTCTTCATAGCTGCATCCTCGCAAACCATGCTCCTTAATGCATCAGTGCAAGTCCCTAAATCGCTATCTTTAAAGAAAGAGTAAGATTAAATTATTGTTGAACTTGATTTAAACCTTTTTGGGCCTGGTTAAATCGCATTATTCAAGGCTAAATAAGGTGCTCGGTCTGTGGTACACTTCGAAAGTGAAGGGGTTCATACTCTGTCATAAATGGCACTGCTCTGCTATCCCAACGACGCTGCAGCTCGTTTATGATGGCTGGTGATAATGAATCTCGGAGGATAGTTAGTAGAATTGAGTGTTTTCTCGGGTTGTAGAAAGCGATTTGATGTCTCCGATCAAATTTAATTTAAATAAATTTATCCGCACATTTATGTGAGCATATTTTTGAACTAGACTAACCTGTTTTCTCTCTTGCAGCTGCATTTTCGTCTCCGGTCAATCTCTACCTACTGCAGCCGTATTTTGTCTTCCATCGTGGCACTCGCGTCCCTCAATGGCCCTCTAGTTGTCAACACACACAGTATCGGCAGCACTTCTCCCTCCACTCCCTGTTCACTAACCGAGCACGCCTCCATCTGTATGAGCGGTCTAGCCCGTGCCCTCGTTTCTCCCCACCACAATCCCCTAGCAGGTGTGAGTGCCCTTCTCCTCCCTTCCTCCACCGAGTTGGTCACCTTCACGCAGATCCAAATTAATAGTGACGTTAGTGATCTTTCTTCTCTCTACCCACGTACCGCTGAAATTGAGGCTACTTTTGTGCCACTTGCTCACTCTACCCCCGACGGCACAACAGGTGGTTTTTTGTCTTATGAGCTGCCTCTGTTGGCTGAGCTGAGCGTGAATTTGTTGCGGCGCCTCGTGGAGGTGTGCGGCGTAGTGGAGGGTTTTGCTATGGGCAATGGATGGCCGGCGTCGGACGCCCCAGGAAGCCAAGGGGCGGTGCTAGCTCATCTCGTCTTTTACCTCAATGCCGTCAATGCCTTCTTAGGATTGGTTAAAACCATTCTTTTTGAGGTAAGACTCCATTCTTCAGTTCTCTCCCAATGTGATGCAGTAGCCAGGTTGCATAACTAGTTTTATTAGATGATGCAGTTATAGACTTCTTTTGCTGTGTTATGGTATTTTTTTACGCTACTTAAACAGAAACGAATTGCGTTTATCGTTGCGGAATTTGGTTTTAGTTTCCTGAGTTTGATGAAGTGTTTCATTGGCCATGTAGTGGTGGATTTTTTATCCAGTACTTCTATTAGGAAGTGGTGAAGTTACTGAAGATGTGTTGACCTGCATTGCTGTTTTTCGACCAGGTCCGAGCTGTGTTTGCCATTGTACTATTTGGTTTTTTGCATTGTGAGCTCAGTAAGAATCGTCTTTATCCAGATCTCAATTAAACGTTTGCTGTATTATTTTATTCCCTTTAAACTAATGTCAGTGGCATGGCTTCGCTATCCCAGCCCTACGGAAGTAACCTTAATTGAAGAATCCAGAATATGGTTGGATGGAATTTGACAAAGCTACACCGAAAAAATACCAAATTTTACTATTTCCAGCTTCTTAAAAATTAAGATGACATCGAGTCAATACTATAAGGTGTTATTTGAGATCTCCACTCCTCCAAGTACTGCCCCATTCCATGCGAAACATTGACAATGTAGCAAAATATACAAACTTTGTTCAAATCAAACTGAGATGTTTCATTCCACACTCCCTTGCATCGTATAAAAGGATCTCATCGTGTATTAAAAATAGATTCCTATCAGGTGTGTCTCATCACTCGTACTATCAGTCGCCGCACATATCATTCTTGAGCCAGTTCAGGTCACTCAAGTCCAGACACCGCTACCCAAGGTAGTAGGTGTGTGCTCTCAACAGATAGTAATGAACAAAAGGCTCTATTTACCCACCTATGCTGATGACTTCAAATGCAGTGCGGGAGGGTGATGGGGCGCTAGATCGATCAGCCGCTTAGAATCGAGGTGTTTGAACGGTGCCAACGTTTCAAGGACAGCCACACTTCTGTACGTCTGTAGCCATCCCAACCCACAGTGCACAGTCACACCTGTGAATATAGGACGTGCAAATTGTCCGGTCTTCGACTCCCCATCGACGCATAACCTGTCGTGTGACGAAATTGTACAAGAGACTTCTCTCTTTGTTGCACTGGTAAATGAAATCTAATTGGTGGTGAACGTTTGTAATCTTGTGAAGTCCAAGCACACTCGGCACTGTCAGTTTTCCAGTTTTGATTGAAGTCGTAGTGAATAGACTTGTAGGCGCTGAAACAAATATATAAATGTGGAGAGCTATGTGGAGGCATAAATGTGTTCTAGATCTTTGTGAGGCTGGTAATCCCGTTTATTATCCACCACTCTTCACATATTTTACGAAACCGAATCTAGAGTTCTTTTTCCTTTCTTGCCAGTGTCTTCTTCTCGAAGCAGGTGTGGTGGTGGGGGTTGAGAGGTTGGCAGCGGACTTCAGCGACACGATGCGCGCTGCCCATGAGGCGAGTGAACGTATCTTTGCCTACCTTTCCGACGTCAATGGAGCGGTGCCGCACTTTGACGCCTCCAACACTGCCCTTTCCTATACAACTGGACCTTCTGCTCCCCTCGGTAGGTGCTTCATCCCTTTCACCTAGTAAACACAGATGATATTCTGGTGTAGGAGACGATAATTGTTCTTTTTATTGGGTGCGATCACGAATTCTCGGCCCCTCATCAGTTCTTCAGCAGCACCCATTTATGCACTTCAGGGAATTGATTATGCTGGTTCGTGAAGCTTGTGACTGGCGCCTTGCAAATTCTATTTCCTTATCGGTTTGTTAACTATAGACGTCCACGCTCTGCAGTCAATTGACCAAGCTGCGTTATGGTTCTGTAATGTCGAATTATACCATCCTGAATTTAAACCACGGTTGAAACATTCCTTGAAGACTTCTCCCTGTGGGACCTATTTCTCTGCTATAGACTGCTCACTTGCCTGCCGTTTTAGGCGGGTGATTAAAAAGTAGGGGAAATTTTTCAGAAATCGTTATGTTAAAGCGTATTTACGAAATGAGAAGTTATTTAATCAAAGTAGTAGATTAAAATTTGAGTCGTATTCATACAAGCTCACAGGAATTTTCCTAGGCAAAAGGTAATGTGAGGTAAATAATGTTTTCTGCAGTTTTTTCCAATCATAGATCACGTATTGTCTCCGAATGAATTTTTCGTGAAGGTATAGTGACCTAACTCCTTTCCGAAATTCCTTGAATTCGTTTTATCTGCTTTCTATTTTTCGTAATCATATCTCTCCTTTTACGTTATGTTAAGTGTATGTCCCTTAGATAGGAACCTGAGTTGCCCCTGAAAAATGCTATTCTGGCACTTTACACCCACGCCATAATCTTGGTTTCATAGATTTTGAAAATGAGTCTTACTGATTGCAACGTTGGCTTTTCTTAAACCATCATCTTCCTTGTACACTCACCTGTAGACCAGATGGTGTGTACCCTAAAGCAGACTTGCGGCCAGGTTGGCGCCAACTACCAACGGCACCAGCATGATCTCATTAGGGTATACTTTGCATCCCACCTTTCTGCACCAGTCGGTTTTCGCAGGGACGCCTCGACTACTCAGAGCACCAGTGGGGGAAATGAAGAAGAGATAGATCTCGACATAGACGAGGACGACCAAATAGCCTATGAGGTAACCTTTCTATTCTCAATTTAAGTCCGTCAGCTCATAACTTAATGTCTCGTAGTGTTTGTATAAGTTGTATCCAGGATGGATGGTTGAATGGATATGAAGGTGGTTGGAGTGATATATAGGTGTTTTGATAAATGAATTGATGGGCGAGTGTACGGATAGAAAGGTCGCTTTGAATAAACTCATGCATCTTTTATCCACTTACTCTACGTAAAGCTACTCGAAAAAACAATCATTTAACTAATTCATTTATTGGTGCTCCACAGGATAGTCTCTTCGCCATTGGGCAATTCAGCAGTGCATCCGAGGGCGAGGCGTTGGCCGAGGTTGTGAAGGTTTTGGCAGGCCTCTTAGAGGAGCGTGTTTGGCTCCTTCTTCGCCACCAGCCCGGGACACAGCCCTCCTTTGGCCTTCTTGAAGACCTGCATTGGCTCCTCCTCTTCATCGGGCACGTCCTCGTCACCGGCCCCTCCGAAATTGGCTCCTCCAAGGGCACTCAACCCGCCTGGGATTCCAACTTCTCCGTAAGTTTGATTTCCAACTTTTCTCATCCTTTCATCCATCTGAGTCTTCATAATTGCATGGTACGTTGGATTAATGTTTCTAAATTCGTTTGATTGGATTCTTTCCTTTATTTAGGGTGGTCAAAGAGTATGCCGGCTATTCTTTGTTGTTTTTTGCTCTTTTCCCCAATCATATGCTCTTTTGTATTTGTATCACTAAACACACTTCCCTTCACGTCCAAAATTCAGCATTTTCACCTTTTTTCAATGATGTTCGGGCTAAATGGGGATTGTCAGGCTCGCAAAAATCTCTAACACATCTCATGGGGCGAAAATCACATTTATGCCTCTACATTAGCTCTCTCATACATTTATGCACCTGTTTTAGCGTCTAGGAGTCTCATTCACCTTATCTCCGATCAAAACCGAAACCCTGACAGTACTGAGTGTGTTCGGACTTCACAAGATTACGAATTTTCGTCATCTATTACATTGTATATACCAGTACCACAAAAAGATTCGTCTCTTGAACAACTTCGTCATATGTCAGGTTTTTGCGCCGGTGAGGAGTCGAGGACTAGAAAATTTGCGCACACTATGTTCACAGGTATGATTGTTGCATTGTGGATCGAGATCGTCATGGAGGTAAAGGTGTGCTGCTGTCTTTGAAACTTTGATACCTTTCAAATGTCTCGTCCCATCACCTTTTCGTACTGCTTTTGAAGCCATCAGCACAAGTGGATGTGTGGTGGATGGAGTCGTGCGCCTTCATTGATAGAACTTTTTTGATCACTATAACCTTTTGATTTATGGTGTCTGGACTGGACTGAACTGAGCTGAATTGCCTCAAGAACGATGTGCACGGTGACAATAGCGTGAGTGGTAGGATATACTTGACAAGAGTACGGTGGGATCCTTTTCAATAACGAAAAGGGTATGACGCTAGGAGTTCCGGCTCGAGTTAAGCATCGCTTGTGCACTGCCCCTCGCTTTAGTTTTCCATCTAGCCTCATCGACTAAATGCGTATTTGCTTGTTTATATCATTAACTTTCAGATCCCATTTGCCGTGTGGTCCATAGGTCCACGATCCTTCACGGTGGAGCAGTTTGAACATTGTCGGAATTATATTATCAGTGCCACTGAAAACACACCTTGTATTGGAACCGATGGTGTACCACCGCTTTTACGGTACGTCCTGATTATGATACCAAGGCTGTATTGAGGTGCCATTTACCAAGATAAAACTAAGGATATTTTTAGTTGCCTGGTTTTCCAGTCAAACATCTCCTATGTTTTCACCAGTAATTCCATTTGTTGCCCAAATTCCAGTCGAGAGGGAAGCCTTATCGTCTGCATCTAGCATTCTACTCTTTAGTCTATTGGAGCTCCTTTCATTTTTCTCTTTAAATGTCGAATTTCGTAATTTAAACTAATTGGGCGCAAACGACTAAACCGCGCGCTCTGTTTAAAGATTCAGTTTCGACATTGGAACCATAAACCGACCATATTTCATCTGGAGACCTCACTTAAATTTGTTAATGCGTTTTTGACGAATGTGTGAGCTCTCATCTTCTCCAACGTTTGATTGACATCGGGTTCTAGGAGAGGTTGTCATAGCTGAAGTAGAACCGATGTAGCCATTGTAATGTTGAGGAAACAAATCACTTTCACTTAAAATCGGACCGCCTTTTTTTTCATTAGATTCACATAGGAGCGAATATCACTTTTTTGAATTGTCAAGTCTCTTGAAACTGTATTTTGTATTTTGAGGCTCCCCTGAAGGCGATAGAGGAAAATACAGCAGGGCTTGGGACAACAAGCATGACCCAAAGGCCAGCCCACTCGAGGGAAAAAACGGTAGGGGAACGCCTAAGTGGTTCCTTTACCAAAATTGAGCGTTAAACAAACAATTAGCCTATTTCCCGACCCCTCTCCTCCTTTTCGTGTTGTCTTTGGCGTTCACCTTGGTCAACCTTCCGCGCCAGCGATCACAACGTAATCAGTGCTGTAGGAAAAACTTGCACGAGCCAACCGTGCCAATCATTTAATTTTATGCACTTGAGAAGGTACTTGGCTACAGCGTCACTGGTTCCTCTTAGCAATTCTACTGTATCTGGAGTTTCGCTCTGTATGGGAAATAGATTCGGGGACGGGGATTGTACTGGCCATCACACGTCCAAATCTAGCAGTGGGAACACTGGCCCAAAGGTAGAGTTAAATAACGAAGGACGGGATTCAGCTTATTTCCGTTGGAATAAGGTCCCTCGTCAATTACTCCTTGGGACGTCGCTTATACTTCAGTGCTTCCCAACCGTATCTACTTGGGTTCTATCGAGGTAGTAGAGACTTGGAAGTATCGCGAGTTTGTGCATTTTCTGTCTTCATACGATATGCATCATATTGATATCGGGATTAAATTTTGCTTCAAATTGTTTGTGTATTAAGTCTAAGTGATCCAAGTCAAATGTGCCTTGATTTTTACAGCACTTCGTCATGGCGTCCACACGAAATCTGAGGTCTTGACCCTAGAAGAAATCCCATTGGCTACTAAATGAACCTTAATTATTCGATGTCATAAATTACATTCAGCGTTTAAAACTATTCCAGAGGATTTAAATTACGCTAAAAACTTTCAATTGAGTGGTATGTTGCACAGCGCCCGGAGTGGACCCATAGTCTTTCAGTTCGTGGTTCACGGTCATTCAGATCCGTCGTTATCTCTGTCTTCGATGAAATATAAATTGATTCCTTTTGGTCGTTTACTAGTGGCTCGAAGGCGACAATCACGGTAATTAAAGTAGGCCTTCCATCTATTCCAAAGTTATCTCTATAAGTCATGCCAAGATATACAAAAACGAGGATTACAGAGCTCGAAGCTCAGTCGAAAGGGGTGATAAATAGCTCTAGAACTCCAATAAAATTGACTCCAAACGTTTTGGTGGAAGGTATTTTGGAAGATGTTATGGAGTAGTTTCCCTTCCTTGAAGAGGATATTTTAGTTGGTGGAATGGAGAGCCTTACCGTAGCCGTAAAATGTCAATAAATGCTAAGTAGTAATACTTTATTTCAATTGTGCATTTAGGAGCTGTTACTATTCTTTCCCCTAATCGGAATCAGTAATACTGGCTGTTGGAGGACAGTCATGGTATGCAACGTAATGACGATTGCTTATTTCTGTCGGATATTTTCGTGACATTTCTGATGCTTATTAACACATTGGAACACACCACGACTACATCCGTTCAGACCTTCAGCTCAGCTTCTCTTACACGACGAAGCTTTGTGACCCCATCAGACATTCTAGGAAACTGTGCACGATTGGTCAAAGTGGACACAGGGACTTGATACCCTTATTTTCCCTTTTTTTGCTTAGGATCTTCGGTACTCTCTTCCGTCTGTTGCGAATGCAGGTTTCCAGTCGGGTAGGCTCCGCCCAATTGACTGAGGACACTCTCTGGGTGTTTGTCCGTCTCACTCTGACCTATTTCTCACGCAACCATTTAGCCGGACCTGAAGGGCATCTCGATCCGGTGAGTTGTAACATCCGAATTTGTTGTCTTTTACGTCACTTTAGGTCCACACCTCTGTTGCTTCATAGATGTCCTAGATTTCAACTAAGGGAAAGGGGATTTATATCTTTAAAAAGAAATATTTTGCCCTTCCTAATAATCCAAAAGTCGTGCCTTTTCGTGATCGGACTAGTAGAGTCTTCTCTGGCGATACCTTCCTTGAACAGCTGGATTACCTTTTCAATGAAGAGACGTTTAGGTCAGTGACTCCTTCGAGTCGAACCATCACAAAACACACAAACACATTCTGAGCCACCCTCATCTACTTGAGGCCGAAACTACTCTAGATTTTACATAAACCCCTATTCTCTTTCCAACGATTAATCAACTCAAATTCGAATTGCTTGTAAGGCCTGAATCCCATTTAATCCGTTTCCCTGATGCATCAACCGCGTTAGAAACTACATGGATTTCTCTAGTAACTCGGTCCTGTAGCATGCGCTTGTAAGTGTATGATGGGCGAGTTCTGTACCGTTGCATTGGGTTGTTGAGGCGTAAAAATTTACTTGTAGACGATTGAATGAAGTGCCTAATTCAGAAAAGGTTAATTTTGTGTTCTTTCTTCATCTCTACGTACTTTTCCGCCTGTAGGAGGATACAGCGGCATCAGAGGGTGGAGCGACCCTGTTCAGAACGCTGTTTTGCCCACCAACTAACATCGGGGGTAATGGTGGACCAACAGCTCGCTCCACCCATCACCAACTCCTCCTCACCCACGTCTCCACAGCCCTCACCCTTTCAGCCTGCCTAGCTATGGCAACGTGGTTGGGCGAGCCAAAAGTGGCCACTCTTGCCTCCGCCCTCCTCTCCGCCATCGCTCGGCACTCCCTTTTTACCGGCCCTATCAGGTTCGTGTGATTAATAAGCTTCGGAAGTGGATGCTATGCATGTTATGGAATAGTTGTTGCGCGCTTTTAAACTCTAGAAAATCCTTGATTTGGCTTCTAGTGCTTTGATTTTTTTATATGAAGTTGACGAGTTCAGTAAAGCCTGGAACTAGGTATTCCAATACCTCACTCGGCTGTGGCTTGTTTTGCACACGTACATCAGTGACTATACAATCTGTTAAAGCAAAACGCTTTTCTAGCCCTTTGTGGTGCGATAATTTTTCTTCACTAGCATTTGTTCTCTCAGGAGTTCATTGTGTGCATGCGCTTCCAGCGCTTTTAGCTATTGGATATGTCTACCATACAGTCAAATGATTATGAAGGAAACTGAAGAGCGGTGGGATCACCATGAGCATTTTTCATTGCTTTTCGAGGGTTTTCCTCGAGGGTTTTCCCTCAAAATCGTATAAAGCGTTGCCGGTTTGGAATAGAATTTCGACTTGTTTTATGTGGGACTGAAACCAATAGGTCCATGTTGCCATTGTGGAGGTTGAATTGCTAGAGTGAAATACGTAATTTATAAAAAGTCCTCTGTTTACAAGGAAACCTCCGTTGTCTTGCTAGGCGTTTCATATTGTTTCATGTCCTATATGCAATACGTGACTTTATTTAACCAAATCTGATATTCTCGAGATGTTTTTTTAAGGTGTAATTAAGTATACCCAAACTTTTCGATTCAAGAATCTTCTAGTAAAGGTAACAGTGGCGACAGTGTCTGCTTTCCTTCACTGTTTTGATTTTGCACATCCTTGAGGGGGAGGTATTGTTCTTATGGGTTTTGAAGCTAAGGTGGTACCAGGATACTCGTTTTTTTCTTCAGTCCTTTTTCTGAATTCACAGCAAACAGGAGGAATCAAATGCAACGACATCATCGCCCGCGCAGACGTGGATAGAGCTCTGCAGTCAGGTCTGCGCGGCGGAGACGTGGCTGTGTCTGGAGACAGAGACGCTGACCGAACTGGTGGACGCCTGCACGCGTGGCTGTTGGTGTCTGCGTGGCGCACATAGGCCCAGTTTTACCTCTACTGACCTCTTCTATCAGGTTTGTCAGTTGATTTTCTTATTGCCGCTGTAATACCTGAATGTGACACGTTTGTGTTAATTTAGATTGTATTCCACACTTTAATGGATGAATTCTGCCGAATTTACGGTTGTACAACTTTCCTTTTTACACCTGGTTTAGTATCCTCCTACTAACCCTAATTCAGTAGTGCTACTTACGCCCGTTCTTCCAGTTCTTGGAGGAGCTACGTACGCGTTTAACTCGGCTCATTATCGTGGACGAGGCGAGAGGTCAGAACAGCAATGGAGATGCGGGTGGGCAGGTGATGGATCCTTCGCTCCTATCACACCTGATTGCGGGTCTCTCGGTCCTTAGGGGACTGGTGCGAGCCCTCCGCTGGATCGTTTCACACGGGGGCAACTCCATCTGTGGTCTGGCTTCTTCCAATCACTCCAGTGCCACTGCTACCGGCTCTAGTGACCCAGATCTTGTGGGCTTTTTGTGGACTAGTATCATTTTTCCTATCCTCCAGAGCTGTTGCTCGTATTTTTTAATGGTAGGTCACCGTAATCAAGGCTTTAGGGTTGGATACCTTTGTACTTGCTTCATCTTCATCTTGCAGTTTACCACTTTTGTTTTTTTAAAGTAGAATAGGTTTTTCATTTGCAGAATTTGTGTAGTTATTTATTCAGTTTAGGAGTTGCAAGTTGTTCACTTGCTTTCAAATAAATGGAGCAGAATTATTGTAGGTTTATAAGCCTATTTCATAGGTCTCGTCTGCTGAATGCGTTTTAGGCACCATGGTTTTGCGTTGTAGCGCTACCACATGTACCATGAAATGATTGTTGCGATGCTGACGCTATTCGAGGAGGTGGCAGACAACTGTCTGCTCTACCTGGCCAACTGTCCGGCCACCCTGACGGTGGAGGATGCCGCTAGTGCCTTTCGTCTCACCAATGGACTTCAACTACGTTTCCCTCTGCCCTACACAGGTTCCACCCAATTCTTCATCCTCGCTGTTATTCTCTGTGCCCAGTACGCTCAGACCAATTCACGTGAGTGATTAAAAATGATCAAGAAAGACGACTAAGCTGCAATCTTAGTGTTCGGTTTGCCTTTAGAAGTGTTATGGGCCATACTAAACTGAAATCAGGTTCGTCGGTTATGCACAAAAGGCTGGAAGAAAATTAGCATGAGAGCCATGAGTAGACCCTTATTACCAGTTTGAAGGTAATAACTCGGAGGATTGAAAAGAGAAAAAGAATTAAAATATCGTTCTTCCTCATTAATCTTCTCTTTCGAGCGTCATCCTCGTTACTCTCCTACTTTGGCCACGAGGTAGAAACAAGAACCATTCAGTGATATTCTATCAATATTAACCTTCTTAACTAAGCTGTATTTCTCACTGGAACCTGCGTTGTACGGCCCTATTTACCACGCTATTATTTCTGAGTTTATTTCTTTTTTCCAATCTCTTGAATTTTAAGTGCTTTTCCAAAGAACAAAATCTTGTTCACCGAAGTATAATGACGTGAATGTCCTCACTGTCAAATCTTATCGATTAAAGCACATTCCTTTCTGACACTGCTCACTGCTTCTCTCCTTCTAAAAGAGAAGCTCACTACAAAGAGCATCTCAAAGGAGGTGGACGAGGAACGAGTGATCGAACTACGTCATCTCTTCTCTCTCCTCCAATTTTTCCTCAGCCACGAGTTCGATTTACGCCTCTTCGGTGTGACGGGGACAGGGCTGAATTCTAACTCACCCGGCGGCGGTGGTGATGGAATTGGGATGATGACCACAGTCGATGTTACTCTCGTTTGTGTCGGCTTTCTTCTACCTCTCCTTACGCAATCGGTGCTAGCGGTAAGTGCCTGAGACGATGCTTCTTGGAATCTCGCCCCTCTCTCCTATTACGCTTATAAAAGGTAAATTTTGTACCCTCTCTAAATGCGTAGAATGTCTTTTGTCACTTGAGAAATCTTTTTATTGTCTGAAGTATGGATGTGGTGTGCTCTGTTGATGAGTATTGTAGAAATCGTTCTCCTTTCTTCCGTGTCTGCAACCGAGGGGTGTGGTTGGAAAATATCCGAGGGTTCGCATTTATACCATTTTGGACTGATTTAAGCAAAATTTCTCTATTTAGCAAATAATTTTTATATTATCTGAAATACGAAGTTGGCAAATGTCCTAGGGGCCTCCCCCATATTTTTCGGCCAGTAATTACCACTTCAATTATAATCTATCATGTAGATTCAAATTTGTATCACATTGAGCCGAGTCGAGTGATTTTTTATCACCTTATGGTTTTTTATGGTTGTGCTGATCATATCTAGGTAATGTATTTTACCTTTCCCGACCCATCCATTTTGAATAAATCAATCCTTTTGTCGTAGACCTAGTAGTCAATTTCCTACAGTCAAATACCCATTCATTTCACCTCTATCCCTCAAATTATCAATTAAATCGTCAAACTACCGACCTGTCCACCCACCTCTGTTTTATCCATCTGCATAATTAGCGCTCTAACCAATTCAATCTTGACCAATCCTTGATTACTTCATCCATCGACCTTGAGTGCACCCATCTATTCATGAATTCATCTATTCAATCATTACGCCACTCTTCTTTTCATCCAAGCCATTGGGACACATTCTTTTATCAATTTGTTCACTCTAGCTCCGACCTTTTCAACCTTCACACCCAGAATTGATAGGACGATAGTGACTTATCTATCTATGTATTCATCTTACCAACCGTTTTAGTAGTTGACCTCTCCTTACTTAATAGGTTCCAGAAATGGCGGGCTCCTTTTACCACCTCCTTTCCTACGCTCTGGAACTGCGCCCCGAAGGTCTGCTCCATCTTACCAAGGACAAGTCGGCAGAGGCGTTGACCGAACTTGGGCGCCTTCTTCGTCACGGCATTTTCAACCTCGCCGAAACCACTACAAACATGAGTGCGCTGGAGGCACTCACGTACCTGGCCGAATTCTGCGCTACTCGGGGTTCCCTCCCCACTTCGGCCGCGGTCGCCGCCACGGCCATGGTGACGCACTTGCCGTTGGGGAAGGATCTCCTCCGCGAACTTCTCGGGCTCGTCACCCGGGATATTTTTCCGGCACAGTTGGAGGACTCCCTCGCGGGATGCATCTTTGCGTTGGCTACTCTTGACCTAGTGAGTCTCGCCAATCCGTCTCAGTCTGCCAGTCTCTCTGTTTACATCTTATTTTTGGCTATTTGTATCTGCGTACCCGTCTCTGTTTGTGTGTTTTATTTTGCCCCCTTTTTTATTTGTCTGTCTGCCTTCCTTCGTCATTTCCTTTCGCTGGCTATTTGACCGTCTGCTTCTATCTACTTATCATCATTGCGCCGTCTACCCATGCCAATCTATCTATGTGCTTCCGTTTGCCTGACTTATGTCGGTCTACCCTTCTATCTATTTACCTGTCTGTTTTCATCCAAGATCTGGTGCATCATAAGACCACTCCTAATTGTTGCAATCCCCAGAAACATTTACTTCCTTCTGTAGCAAAAGTGGAAAAGACAGATATGAATGTGATGGATTAGTTTTCGTCGGAAGTACAGCTGCGACAAACAATCCTTAAATGTCAACATTGGACAGGCTTTAAAAGTGATTCATTGCCTGAAATAGTAATAGATTTGTAGTAAGTACTTTGCGCTCAATCGTTTCGCTGTTTGCTAACAGGAAAACCGTTTAAATAGGTGGTGTTGTGCATTTTCTGTGTTGAAACTGATATCAGGTGATGCTACAGAGGCAATCAAGCCAAACCAAACCTTTTATCTAGAAGGTTAGTACCGCAAAGTTACTACGTACCGCAGTAAGTTCAAAGTCTGTCCTTTTCCCAGTACCCAGAGCACCTCTCGTAGGCTGAACTCCATTTGACAGTTTGACACGCGTAAACGGTCATGTGAGTGCGAACCAGAGCATTGTGGTGAACGAAGAGGCCCCTTGAACCAACGGGTTAAATCCATGTATAGCCCTATGTACAGAGGACATTGGGCATCGTCGTATGTGGTGATACAATGCTCACTCGCTGAACCACCCAGTTGAATGGCATTTGATTAACTGATTCCAGTGAAAATTCTGGTCATGGTAGTTCATTGCCAATTCCCAGTTTTCACAGGCGTTTCTGTAAACAAACATTCCGTTGAATGCAAGGAGCGCTCAATGGAGGCTAATAGACTAGAAACAGAAGGCACGAATCTTTCCACGAAATGGTGAGACACACGGGCATTGGCAAATGCAAAGATGTGGAATTTTGAAAAGTTGGTGCACATTAGGCGCCAAAATAGCTTGTTGCCCTTGACTAGCGCAGAATAGATAAATAGTGGAATGAGATGAGGGCATGCTTTGACAAGGGAGGCGAGGATTTTCTCGATTGCGCTATTGCATGTGATGAGAATTGGGTGCATCAAGAATCTTAGAGGTCAATATTTCGGCACCGGCTCAGAAGCAAAAGACTGACCTTAGATGCTCCAGTCGTACTGACGCGCTGAGATAAGCGTAAGTATCTGGTAGAGAAGTATGACGAAAAATAAGCGTGGTTTTCATTCATTGAAAGTTATTATTTCTTATAAACCCCTAATTTCATTTTAGTTCGGATACCTCTGTATGGGTCGCACATGAAGCGTCTAAGTCCTTCTTTTTTTTGCAGCGAAGCTTCGAGGAGGTAGCCGGTGAATCCGTAGCACGATATTCAGGCGACGCGACTTCACAACAGCGTCTACAACACGCCTTTCTCGAGCTTTCCACTCCCCTGACTAACACCACGACGATGTCGGAGAGGAAGAGGCGCACTGATTTTCAGCATCGCTTTCACCTGTTTGTGCCCACTGTCCGCTCCTTTCTCTGTAACTTCTAGCTCTTCCGACCACGACAACGATTGTTTATACAACCACCTCTTTACTAAACTACACGTGCGTGTTTGGTTAGTGAAAAAAGAGAACGATTTTATCCTTTTTCATTTTTTTTTTGCGCATACGTGTGTTCTTGCGCTTTCTACTGCAATTTTTTGATGCCAGATTCTAGCTCAGAGGGTAATCGTCCACCGCGCGTTATTTTTTGCTGTATTTGCTCCTTCCCATCTGCTTCAGTTTCTTTTACTTAACTTTAACGTACGGGCTCAGGAATGAAGGGACCCTATTAATGGTGATAGAAGGTTCCTGGAGTAAAGTTTGGTTTTCACTTAAGAATTCGTTATTGTTAGTTTGCTTCAAATGATAAGTGGGACATCAACTAATCATCTGCGTGAACCTGAACAATAAAGAGCATCTCACGACGGAGTCCCGTGTTTCGATGCTTTCACCTCGAGTACTACCTTTCATCTTTCGTTCTTTGTTCTCGTTTTTCGTCACATCATCGGTATGAGGAACACCCCAGCCGTGGAATCAGGTTTTTTATTATTTTTTAGGGCCAAAATCGAGTTAGAACATTAAATTTGTTTCAACGGTAGTATTTAAAGTGGGTGGCAGTGCATTTATTTGATGAAGTGTCAGCGTCTCGACTGTCGGTAATGCCTCCTTGCTAATTCGTGTATGATTTGGGACATTTCAGCTTGGGCAAAATCCTTCTCGTCTTTCTGTTCTCTCTTTGTCTCTAACACGGTGATAATGTCACCTGTTGGTTTTGGTCACGTTTGCCACTATTGCTGACATGAAATCTGCTGAAGCTTCTTTTATTCCCAGCCTAATGGTCGCCCTATCGGTGATATTTCCTCCGGCTACTAGTACCTCGGCGAAACTGCTTACTTAGACAAAAAGTTGAGTAGCATACCGTCCTTATCTTTCTTGGCTAGTCGAGCTCTCGCCGTGGCCAGCATTGTGTTCGTAGATGTTTTGAGCCTCTGCATTGCGGTTCTACAATCGGCCAAATTTTCGCTTAGTTTAGCTAAGATTTCCGAAAATCAAGGATTGATCGTGAAGCAAACCGCGCATCCTCGTGGTCGCCACCGTTCTGGATAAGGGCTTACCCCATACTTAATGGTCTAATGCTTCAAGAGATGGTAGTTCTGGAGATACTTCACGGTCCACCGATTTGGAGTACTTCCCTGTGGCTAATGTTGACATTGTTGCATCGACAATAGTTATTTTTCAAATAGATTTTTTAAAAAGTAATGCTATTTCGTTTCAACGTGTTCCCCTCCCTCCCCCTTCAACTCTGTCCTTGTTGATCTCATGCAATTTTCTGGAATCTGCTTCGAACTGAACTTGTCCCCGGCAATGTGACCCACGTACGTAGTTTGATAATAAGGCGACCTACGTACTTATTCGTACTCCATCTCTCTATTTTAGAAGGGCTTGGCCGCCTACGCAGTTGCTAATCAAATTCTCCTCTCAATTCAGCCGTGTGATCGCACTTTTTACATCCCCTCTCCTACATCCTATTCAATTCACCACTCTCCCATCTTTTACAGTCGTGCGGCAACGCCTTACACTCCAACTACCCCTTTCGGCAGTCTGCCCTGTCTGCGTGTCAACACTCTTCCTGATGCCCCCGAGTTTGCGATGAAAATCACGCGTACTCGTCTTTTTCTAGGGCCAAACGCTTCTCTAGTCCTCTGCATCTGCCTTCATGATGTTCCATCTAATGTTAACTTACACCTGGAGACTGTATTTCCTCGAATATCTTCCACAACAACGTCTGATGCGGCAAAACAGCGTCTGTTTGTCGTAATTCCAACACCACGGTCATTTGGAGATATATATTTTCAAATATCGACCTCTGATTGGGTGATACATCTTCCAATACCTGTTGATCTCGAAAGTGTTCAATCCATGGACGAAGTGGATGAAGAAGAACTTGATCAAGAGGTTTTATCGATCACTCATCCTTGGAAATTCGGTTTGAAGTTGAGAGGAAAAGAGGCAGAGGTGGAGCATCGTCTGTCACGGCTGTTTAGATGTCGAATAACCCTGGGGCAGTGGATAGCTGTTACCCGAGGCTTGTTCGCGGGTTGTAGAGTTCAATTGAGTCGGCGTGCTGCCAAAAGCTTGGTATTCAAGGCCATGGCCTGGTAGGTGAGCTCTTTGAACCCTACTTTTCCGGTTTCAAATGTGGGCTAGATTTCAAAGCAATATGCTGGCCTATTCTCTATTTTGATGAATTTTAAGCCTCTAGTGTAAGTAGATAATTAGAATGGTGGACTACAAGGCTATTAACATCAGCAATGCCTATATTTGCTGATCTATTTTATCTTGAAACTGTCTTTTTGATGCAGAGGAGTAGTTTGCGGTGCAGATCTGAGGGTCCCGTGATTGCATTAGAAATATCGTGTTCATTCTACAAGCTGGTAATGTTGCGCATGTTCTTGCAACGACTTGGATAACACCTCCTTTGTCCTCTGTACGATCGCCCAAGACACTTTTGAGGAGTTAAATGTAATCTCTTCGGCTTTCCATTATCGAAATGTGACTCTATGAAATGCACTTGGAAGGCATGAATTGAAGTGTTTGTATTAATATTTGACAGCAGTCTATTTATTAGCACTTCTTTTTCATCATCATTCATTTTGGAGTTTACATCCTCAATTTCTTCATTCGTCATCTGACAATGCTAATCCTCGTGATTATTTTCCTCCAGTCGCAGAGAGCTGCATCACCTCCTGTTAGACTACCTCAACCGGGACGCTCTGCTGGGGAGTGAAAAGGAGGGTAATGGAGAGGAAGCGGGAGGAGGGTCAGTGACACTGGATGACCTTCGTGACGCCCTACTCACTGAATTGGGTCTCTTCAAGTCAGCCCTCTGTGCATCTCTTGTCCGTCGCGTTTTGAGCTCCTCTGTACCCCTTGTTACCGCCTCCACTGCCATCTCACCCGCTGTGTCCGCCCTCAAGGTCGCTGACCTTGTTGCCGATTGGCGCAACGCGGCTGCGGGCTCAGAGCCTATCGACCAATCTGTGGCCGCCGATGTTTTGGGTGGCAGTTTGAAAGTCTTGGCCGCGGCATGCAGTACGACTGAATCAATTATCGCCGGTCTAGTTAAGTGAGCTCCCCCCGCCTTGTTCATATCATTCGGATGTTTGAGAAACTGAAGATAGGTTCGCTGTGTTGTTGTCATTGAAATGGAGTTTTTAAAACAATCAACGTGTGGACTACTTGTTCACAGGTGAACCTTCTGGTTGGTGTTCCAAATGGAGTTCACGTATACATTGGTATTATGATTCAGCACTATTTTTTGAGGCTACTGCATAAATTTTTACCTCTATTAAGTTACGTTGGATTTGCTCCAAATGGGTGATAATTTGAAAGGTGATGATTGGACAAGGAAGTGGAGGATAAGTTGAATTTTCCTAAATATATCATGACGAGAACTCATTTTACAAGTGAGAAACTCTGTTCAAATAGTTGTAGACATTGAAAACTCCAGATAATATCGCTTTTTTGGCATCTTTGATGCAATGAAGGGGAGTTTGACGCAACTTTGTTTTAGTTTTTGAGGATTTTCGAGTGCCTCTAATTAAAGAGTAGCAGTCCTTGTTGGTGATGGGCTTTACAATGAGGGATTGCTATCGAGGCTTTGATGTATTCAGCATTCGATGTATAATCAAGGCCTTTTCGGGTAGTATTTAGTAGTATGCGCATTCAACCAGCCTGTCAGTGATGCAACCTCACCAACGTTAACTGCTGCATAAACCTCAATTCCGAAAACTCTTTTGAGTCAACAGTGGAGGAAGTGTATTTGTATCTTTTGCCATTTTTGAGCTGAACTTTGTCACACTTTGCCAACGTGGCCCATTCTTGGTAAACATGCGAGACTGGTATATAAGGTACGCGTTCGACGAAGTTTCCGACCTGTCTTCACTTTGATTGGCTTTTTTATGCGGCAAATGCTAGAGTAGGTGTTAGGGGATTGGTCTGTCCCTTTAACTTATGACTTTGGACAATTTAACCAATCAAAACAAATTCACTGTCCATCATACCTAGAGGCGACTAAGGTAAGCCAGCCAAGTTTTTTAGACTCTAGTATTTACCAACAAAATCAAACCTTTTAATCCTAATGGACTTGCAAGTGGGGCTGACGTCTTCCCTGTAGAAAGATTTTACCAACAATCAAGTTCATGCCCTGTTACCTAGATCTGGTTCACTTCTCAAAGGCAAGTAATTAACGAGGTACAAGAGTTAGTGGGACCGAAGCATAAGCGCCTCATACACCTGCCGGTGCAAATGAAGCACAGCACGGTTTGGAGGCCTCAGTTACCTGGCGACCAGTGCAACGGTCCTTGGCTAGCGTTATCATTCAAACATGTAAATAAAATCCGTGGAAAGAACGCCATTACCTAAAATGAAGAGTCAAAGTGAAAGTTTGCATTTTTTCCTTGAAACCACACGCCTTGGTTGCCAAAGCGCTGTATGCTCTTTGAATAAGCAGAAAGTCCAATCTGTCGAGAATCCATGCTCCACTTAACTGCAAAGCTCCATTCCTTGAGTTGTCCTTTATAGCGCACGAATTTCGGGAATGCATCAAAGATATTCAAACTACGGCTTGAGTGAATTCATGGTGTCATAACTCATTTGAATTTTAGCACTTCATGGCACGAAATCCCCTCTAGACATCGTTTTAGAGATCATGTTTGAAATGGACTTTAGCTAACATCTTTTTCCTCTACAAGCAAATGTCGGAAAATTGTCATTCAACATACAAACGCCCTGAAGCGCATGTTAGTCTTGAACTACTTCATAGACGGCCTAGAAATAATCACATTGACAATAGATGAGGGCGACGGAAGAATCCATGGAACTGGTCGCAGCAACGATGCCGGTTATCAGCATTCAAAGTGGACTGTCTCATCTCACGAACTCAAACATTGGTCAGGCTTAAATATCTTGCCATTAGTTACAGCGGTTTTAGTGTTCAAATTCATATTCTTCATTTCCTCGACTTATGTATCCCTTTCTTTGGTGGAGCTCCACCGCAAGCAGTTTCTTTGTTTAACCTATATGTCTAGCAGTAATCGTTCCACCATTCGGGCTCTTCCAGTTGGTCAGTGAACGAACCACCCTCAAAGAATGCACGCCCCAAATGCCAACAAGTCCACTTATTGCAGTGGAATCCCTCAACATTATCGTGGGGGCAGGAGAAATAAGAACACACGCGTTGGCGGTGTCTCCGCTTGAGACAAGCGAACGACCGCACATAGCTGAAGGGTCAAGTACAGCTGGACCCGTGAGCGGTCAAGATTTGGTTGATGCCTGATCAACGCATTAAACATACGGCTATGACTGAGACATATCCGCCCATATTGGGTGGGTTGTCATAGTTACTGGACCCGACTTATAGAGGACCATTTCCGTCTCCCGCGGTCCAATTTCACCGGAGGGCAATAATATTAGGGGTGTACAGCGTTGTTATTTGCGACCTGTGCGTAGGGGGGCACCAAATGAAATTGCATATTATTACAAACGATATCAAATAGGGTGACAAGACACCATCACAAGGCAATGCTAAATAACAAGAGGAAAAAAGGTAATTCTGTTCACTAGTACCGGTCGCCGTAAAAGAGTAGTATTAGTCGAGATAACAAATTCTTGCACTACCCGAAAGTTTTGTCACCAAAGGGTCAAAAGGAACAGCAACACTCCAAAGTGACGGAGAAGATGAGGGAAGAGCTGGAAAGTACCCATCGACGACGACAGTCATTTTTGCAAAAAGCCGATTCCGGTAAAGAGCTGTTCTTCAGGCTAGAGAAAAGGGAGAGAGAGATGAGAAAACGCGCACTAGACAGACGGAGGTATCACATGTGGTGAGATTTTAAGAACATTGAACACAACCGACACTGAGAGCGCGTTAGGATGCGGAAAATGAGGTCAGCAATGCCGAATTGTTTGCTCAATTCAGCCTCTACGTGTATAGTGACTGGCATAGCTAGAGAGCGACCTGGATTCTGAGCTTAGACATATTCATAGTTGATACTACTTAACCGCCTAAAAGAAAGAGGACTCGAGGACCACTTTTGGTTACTCAAGCTTGATGAACTTTGGAGTAGGAGGCTTTTATTCTCTTAAGCGTTTTTAGGGACAACTTGAGCTCTGCATCTGTGGCAGCGTTATGATCCCGCTTTCAAACCACTAAAACCTCCAACCTGTCGCAGGGAGGTAAATTCGTCCATCTTTTATAATTATTACAGTAGAGCCTCATAGCGCCAATCAGGTGCCACAGTGCAATAATAAGTAAGCGGACATTTCAGGAAGCGCTAGCGAACGCACATACACACACACACGACAAAAAAAAGCATACCTCGCCCTTTCGGGGATGGGTGAAATTATCCTTTCAATAAAGACATTCGCGCAGGAATGGAAAAAAGGTAATCAAAAAGAGCATTTGCAATCAGTAGGGCTATTGGCAATCAGGCCGAGATGCAATATTTCAATGGTGGTTGTATCAACTAACCCCATGATGGATTACATCCTTGGAGGCTTAAATTCGAAAGGACAAAATATTAGTAATAGTGGGGGTGGTGGTGGTGATACAAAAGCGCATGGATTAGAGCCGCACTGCGAGTAGTAACGAGTGGCAGCATAAATCACAAAGTGGCAGGAGTGGTTCGACATTTAGACTGAGCGGTAGGTCTAACATTTTGAAGCATGTTGGGATAATTAACAGCTTTTGAATTGGATGGAATGAAATGGTAATTGGTCTCGCTGGAACAAAATTAAAAATCGGGTCTGCAGTGGTCGCTCTTTTTTTGAGACTGTGACTTCGTGATTACCGCATCAGTCTTAAATGGGAACCATTCCTGGTATATGTTGATTCCAAGGGTGCAATCTGGACAATTGCAACATCAAAGGCAATGGAAAATTGCCGCAGTCAAGCTGAACATGCTTCAATCATGGACATTGCTGCTATGCGGAAGCACAGTCACGGTGCGACAGTAGAAACTAACCAGAGCGTAAACGAAGCCCACTTGTTGAGTCTTGCAATAGAGAAATAGTTGTTTTTAAGAAAAACTTGAGGTAACTTATCAAATTGAGGCTTGTTGCACGATTAATAGGGGAAGGAGGGGGTGGAGGGGACTAGTGGTGGATGCACAACATGGATTGATCAGGGGAGGCGGTGTACATGGAAGAGAATCTACACTAGTGTGAAGGATAGTAGCGGTGCTATACACTTGTAGGAGAAGCTAAATCTTCCATAAAGAAGCCTTGACAATCGCCAATTTTGCCCTAAAAAGTGATGATTGAAGAGCCGTGACAAAGGCGGAGAGAGGGAAGAAAGAACAGAGACACGATAACATTGGTGCAAAGACTGGTAGAATGAAAACATAGTGCATGACAAGGCCTCAACACAGTGTGTCTCATTTCCATTTTCGTCCCTTCGCTGTCATCCGTGTGCACCAATAAACTTACAGCCAAGGAATACGCGGTGCTCACGATTCCGTGCGGCCTGCCAACGTACATACAGGAGATGTGGATTAACATAGAATGGAATACAGCTCTTTGCCTACAATGCAGCCGCTTAGATCCCCTCTCGGGCTAGTAGTTTAACTAGTTTCCTAGGGAGGAGGGAAGAGCTCACCTTGAAACTTTCGACACTACTAAAACCAATGGCCGGTTGTTGAGTTGGCGGTTCGAACGACTTCTCTTTATCCTCAATTTCCTCGTTCTGGAGAAGAAGCTCGTTGACAACGCGAGCCTCGTGACGTGAGATAATGGTGAGGTTCTGTGGCATGTCAGGAATGCATCGGGCGATGAGGGCTGTCAAGGCTAGAGCCACATTCTAAAAGGGTATCATATATACGCATATATGCAGGGCAAGAATGAGGGGAATGGAAGCAAACAATATAACAACGACAGCTTACCTCAAAAATAAAAACAAAGGCGAATTTCACAGCCAGGACGTGCCAGTACACCGGAGTGTAGGCGTAAGGGTCAGGCGCAGTTGGGGGTTCACGAAAATCGCGATACCTGGAGAAAAAAAAACCGTTACCTTCAAGTGCCTATGCTCGAGCAACGACCAAGTGGCCAGAATGACGTCTCGTCAAATAGCAGCTGTCTTTTTTAAAAGCTCTATCTATCCGATTATTAACGATGTAAGGAATAATAAGGGTTAATTTGGCCTCCAATCGTTTCTTCTTTAAGAATTTCCAAGAAAGCGCGCCTGGTTGAATTAGATGTCAAAAGTTGCAGAATGAAGTCATCAGTCATGGAAGACTTTTAACCTCAAATGCCTTATACTGGCTTTAGAAACAAATTTGGATGCTACAAAGCTGTTAATCGGATTCAAGGATGCCATGAAATGATAACCTCTGCCGCCGCTCTCACCGACAATAGGTTGAATTTTTCAACAGCACTTCATCCTTCGGTGTCAAATCGAATCGCGAGGCATTCATGTAGGAGAGAGTGAAGTCGAGGTAGCCCTCCAGGGTCCTGTTAGGCGAGTAGTAGAGTATGTAGGTCATGCGTACAAGGTACTCCGAAGTAAAGGCGATCAAACAAGCCTGAAACCCACACATACAAGAAACCTGGTTATCTACTGATAAACCATCAGTAGAGCGTGTCGCAACACCAGCAATAATGCCTCACATTTGTTCGAATGGCCAGAGCGGAAATGGCAGTTAGGATGCCGAACCAGATGCCAATTCCATTTTCTCGCTTTCTAACCGGTCGACGGAGGAGACGCAAAAACTTCTTTGCATCCGTGCGTAGCTCAAACATGTTGTTGAGCAGAGCGAATAGTGGAGCAACGGGGAAGGCGGGAACGAACATTGTGATGAAACCGTACTGGATCACTGAGAGAGATAAACAATAATAGAGAAAATGTTATTCAGAAAGCAATTCTAATAGTTTGAATGACTAGATAACCATACAAAAATGCATCACACACTCCCAAACTATGAATAATGCTTTGCCGGTTAAACAAGAGCTAAATTTAGACGCTTCTGTACTGTATTCATTTAATATTTTACATTTAACATAGCAAGTGTGATACGAGAGACAGTGTCGCTGAAAATCTAGAAAACTGCCTTAGATAAGAACGCTCAACTTGAACCAGGACTTCGAGTTGGCCCCCCACTTATCAATAAGGATGTTACTGTGGAGTTACTGCATACCAAAGTAAGCGCCAATTTTGCCCTTTTCCCAATGCGCAGAGTGTATGCCGTTGACCGGAATACATCTGACAAAGTGATAGACGCAAGTGACCATATGCGTGGGAAACAGCCCAGAGTGAGGAATGAAGAAGCCCTTCTGACCAACTGGGTCAAATGCGTGCATTCCCCTCTCTACAGAGGGCTTCAAGCACAATACCGTATGGTGGTACGACGCTTAGCCGCCAAACCGCACAGGAGAAAGATGTCTGCACGTCAGTGACAATTCTGGTCATGGAGATTCATTTCCAGCCAGCAGCCTTGACAGTTATTTCTGTAAGCGAACATTCCATTCAACGCGAGGAACGCGGAATTATGGATGCTTGACACGGAGGCAGAAGGGATGAATATTTCCACAGGCCGGTCAAATATGCCATCACTCATGAGTGAGTTGTGTAATTTCGAAAGACTGGTGCACACTAGATACCAAAGTGCTCTGCTACCTTTGACTAGTGCAGAAGAAATGAGTGGTGGAATGGGGTGAAGACATGCTTTGACAAGGGAGGCGAGGACTTGCTAGACTGCACTATTATATGCGACAAAGCTTAAGTGCATCATTTTACTTTATAGTTAAAGCCAACATGAAAATAGTGAAGTCATACGAAAATCAGCATTCCAGCATCAACAACAAAATTGGAGCGAGCAGTTCTAGGCTGAATCATTTGTACCGACAAGCTTCCGCATTAAAGCCTTCCAGATACCGATTAAAGGCTAAGGAGAGCATGCCAAAAATTAGTTCATTTTAGGCCTTCGTAAAGGGAAAAATCCCAGTCTCGCTCAATTAGCACCTGCATAAAGTACAACACTAGAGGACGTGCTAATCAACGCCTAGGCGACCACACAAGTCGTGCTATGATAACAGTGACGGCCGCGATGGTGATGGTATTGATGAAGGTGCTGCCGACGACAGCACTGGTGCTATCGGAGGTCATCCGCATGACAAAATCGCATCAACTTACGCATTTCAAGATACTCCTCAAAGAGTGGTCGTGATCCGCCGTCGAGGAGAGTGAAGTTGGCGCGGCAGTTATACAAAATCGGTCGTCCGTCGCCACTCGTCAGCGGTGTTTTCTCGAGAGCGCCCGACTCCATCGAGCCGTACTGAGCTCCGGACACCTTCTCTGCCAATGCACCCCGATCTCTCATTGAGCGTCGATGCGCAAAATAGACGACCAGACACCGCTTAATCGGCCTTCAAAGGAGAGGGGTAAGGACAAAAATCTCAGACTCATGCTGTCAGAACGTTGTAGGAGTGTTATAGTTCTTTAACTTGTGTGTGGGTATTTTAGAATCACCCGCACCTCGGCTGCCACGCAGACGGCATGAAGGTGGGATCATCTCAACTGCGACATGGCCTCCTAGTCTGTTAACCATTGAAACACCCTCAATAGGAGCATTAAAATTTGGCTAATGAAAATTGGAGGAATTGTAGATGAGCTACATCGTCTAATCTTACCATATAGATTTTGTGTGAGAATACAAATTACCAGTAAACTCACGGAAGAGTATTTTCCGTCACAAAGTTAAGAAATTGTTTGCCGACCATTATGATGGCCAATTGGATAAAAAGTTGGAAGAGACAATTTCCATTGTCACACTAGAATTCCCAAATGATATAAAAGGTCAATGAGAAATCAAAACATAATTAGGCTTTAAGCAGCAGAAAAACTCACGCCAGATGAACGAATTGGGATGCTCCTGTCACCGGGCAGACCGGCAGTGGTTCCCTGAATGAAGGCAATGTAGAAAATCGACGAATAGAAGTTGACAAACTGCAGAAGGTAGAGTTTCAACGTCAAGCTGTCATCGTACTCCGACTGAGTCCTGTGATTCTCCATATCTGTCAGTTTGACCGCGATTTTGTCGTATACCTAGGTGATGACAAACCAGAAACAAAAAATGAAATGAAACATTTGGTCAGCTACCCCAGATTTTGGCCACAGGTCACGATGCTTACCAATTTCAGGATGAAGATGCAGACCAAGTTAATGCAGGAGCTGGTCACAGTAGTAATTATTCCTGCCATAGAGCTAATGAATACATTTTCGTGTTGCAACAGAAGAGTGTTAACAATGAGACGGTAAAAGATGACACCAATAAGAGCAGCCAAACAGAGGACCATCTAAAATGCACAGTGGTTGCTGAAATCAAATGAGGAGATAAGGTATGTGAATTTCGTTCCGGCCCACATACCCCCAAGATAACAGAGCTGAAGGAGAGCACAGTGCAGGGCAATTTGCGACTCCAAAAGGGAATACTAGGTTCTTCACGCTAAAATAACAAATATCATTCATATGTAACCCATAAATGATGTTGAACGTACTCCAGTGATTAAATTAACGGTCGTTTTGTAGCCTCGTTTTTTGAGTAGGGCAAGAAATTCCGGTCGGGGTGGCTCATCCACAGGTTCAAGATGTTGCACATTCCATCGATGCCCCAGGACATTTTGGTAGCGCTTCCAGTTCTCCATGAAGAGCGTTGCTACCGTAAATTAATATAACTCAAGCTGTTGCTTGGAGAGATTAGGGAAAGCAGTCAAACAAACAACTCACCCCAGATAGACATAAAGATAGCAAACAGAACCGTGCTAATATTGTCCACTAGATGCGTCATCTTCGTGGCCAAACAAGAGGCATTCAATAGCCAAAACTTGCAACCCCGTTGGCTGCACGTAGGACACATCACAAACTCGGACCCACGATTGCATACGTCATCCCTACGTGGAATGAAGCCAAAAGTAGGTAATTTTCCACAACCAACAAAGCACTAGCGTTGTTACTACTTTGACAACATATTAATAGGCCAATGAGCATAAAACTAGTTACGTACACAATTCGGTCGTCGGAGATGTCAATGGCTGAAAGACAGAAGACAAGGAGACCAAAAATACCCACAGGGATGAGCCAGTAGGTGTAAAGGCCCAGCCATGCAAAGTAGAAGGCGATGGATTCACCAAAGTAGAGTCTAGAAAAGGCAACAATGATTGGTGGTTAACATGAGGCATACACTAGTTTCAATTCCGACAAAATTTGTGACAACAAGGCAACACCCGCTTTAAGTACCCTTTAAATGTAACACCCCAAAATCGCATTTTTTGTGCAAAGTTAGTGTGCGGGTGGGTAAGAAACGAAACGATATGCACATAAACAGAGTTGTAGCACACAGAAATTAGCGTACTTCTGTGACTACTTCCATGGTAAGCATGATTTGTCTACGGGCCAGTGGATAGTCCCTCTGTATTTAAGCATGGAGGTAGAGCACAGAACAAATAAACATTAATAATTGCCTAATGTGTTCTAAAATATTAAACTTTTTGAAGGTAGACATCAGAATTAGAATTAAAAGAGGTTTTCCGACTTAGAGTGATTAAGTTAGTCCAGTAACAACTTTTTTCATTGATGAAACAATAACTAGGAGGCGCAGCTTCCTAAGGCCGACAGATGGAAAAATTCAGCTGAATAAAACGCTTGTTTTCGAGTTCATCCCCTACTTATAATCTGATCAGTAGTGTTGGTTGCAAGATGTGGTTAGTGAAATGTTTTTGGCGCAAAATCGGTTAAGAAAGAGAAAGACAGCACAGAGAACGTACCGAACGTAGTCTAGTGGTTGAAACTTAATCATATTCTTCAAGCTGCCCCATTGGTCGTTTAGAAGGGTTCGCATGTTGACCTCCGTCTGCTCGGTCTAGACAGGTGAAAGAGGCGGAGACATAGGGAATATCCGCACAAACTTTTGAAGAGTTTACCCCCAATAAAATGTACCCTCAAACCCTGCCCTAACTCTCTTAATGAAGAAAAAGTAGTGGGCAGCTAAGACAATTTTCCATAACATTCGTTTAAACGAGGAAGAGGATAACAGACCTACTGTACATGAAGATAAGTTGAACAAATGTGGGACGAAATTCCATAAGCCAGTTATCAAAATATCAGGCAGAAATCTACGATCAAACTTTGAGCTATGGAGATTCATGGTGCATGGTACCAAACAAGTGGATTCAACCTTCAAGTGCCATTTACATGACAGAAAAAACGACGATCCATGCCTAACTATGCCCACTACAGATGCATTTTAATGAGAAATAACCACTTTCGGCACAAAATCGCGTTTTCTAGACCCCAAAAAACATCTGTCAAATACACAAATGTAATTGTGAAAAGACACAATCTTGACTGAAGAGAAAATAAGCAAAGTCTTACCAACACGTTCGCTATCAATGTCACACATGCGATATGTGGCCTTCATGAGAATACGAAAAGTGGTTGAACTAAATCGCGTTACAAACAGGTCAAATTGGTAAAATGTGATGGTAGAGGTTTTACTTGAGATGCTGGCAGCGAAGTTGTTCACCGCTGCCAATGAACTATTTCCTATTACCTCCTTTATAATCGACACTACCCAGCTTATTTAGATAGGAGTCCAATACACAAATCCTACCTTTGGTCTGCTCGAACCTGCCACCTCGCCCTCCTTCTGTTTCAATAGATTCATCAGCTCCTCAGACGGCTAGAGGAAAAAAGAAAGAACGCATAAAGTAGAGGAAAAGACGTACACCACTTAGCGGTTCAAACAAGTATACCACCAACTCACATCGTGCAATGGAAAAGCAGCAATGAAGACCTTATCGTTAATGAGATGGTCAATACCCAAATCGACCTTGCCATGTTCCGCCAATTTGACATCGAAGGGCCTAGCACGAGTCTTTCGCTCGTACTCCACATCCTCCTCGGTCACGTAATGCGGTGAGGCATCGTCGCCACCCTTGACGGGTGGGCAGGTTCCAGGGCCGGTACATTCACACGTACCCGTCCGCTTTAGTACGTAGTCTACTACTAGACTACGTTCAGTGGGGTTAAAGAAATTGTCATAGTCCTCGGGAATGTCAAATCTAAAAAAGCAGGAGCAGGAAGAGCATATAAATGCAATGCTAAATACTAAGAAGCACAGGTGTTGTAAGCTTCAATAAAAAAGCATGCATGATATATGACACCTACGCCACGAAAACAAGACGATTTTGAAGTGTTAGACGACACGAATGCGGGAAGAAACGTCCAGATATCAGCCAGCGATTTCGCATAGCATTAAAGCATTCTCCTTACGGTTAGTCGCTATCAAAAACATTACATAATTCAAGTATTCCCAAATAAGAGATTTGAAATAAATGCCTGGTCCA